ACCACTATTACAGGTGGAAGCTCCACTCTGTGCGAAGGCGACACGTCCCGGTGGGGACGGCCGAATGTAATTGTCTCAAGGCGTACGCGACATTACCTGGCACTTAACATTCATCACTGACCGAACCCTAACGTGGCGAGTGCCGGGCATGATGGATCTGTCCTGCAGTAATGAAATCCCCATCATGTTTATGGTAATGAGCTTGGGGGAATTGCCAAAGGGATGGAGCGGTTCAGAAGCAATCTCAGTGTACAATTTGGGTTACGTGCCCTGGGGAATGTGAAATATCCATTTAAAGTTAGCAGGCAATCTATTCGTAACAAGTGCATTTGTGAACTCTTTATATGCAATATTGTCGAAATGCAGATTGATAATTATCAAGTCCCCATGTACGTACGCATGGCTATTTTAAATACATTTCAAGTGACCGGCATTATGTGGGGTTAATTTGCTGGTATTCATACTCCCACTATTCACTTTGGGAGTCCCGGCATGCGGTGGCATGTAAACCCATCATCCTGCGTGCCCATACCCTCCACCAACGAAGATGGGTAGAGCGACTTGCCGACACCACGCTCGCCGGTAAACTCTGACCCTTGCCTCCCTCTCGGCGAAAGGGAAGAACCTGCCAGCCGTGGATATGGATCACTGAAGCAGAAACGGTTGCTCGGCCTGGCCTGCATGAAGCCTGGGAGGCCAACACCCGCCCGACGCGGCGAAGCAACAGTTGTGCCACGCAGCTTTTATTTCCGAATCGAGCACAAGAGACGACAGGGCACGTTCCAGATGTTAGTCTGTGGCGCAACTCAGCTGTCACCGCGTCCCTGACGTTTTGCAATTCTTAATGCCACGTTAAACGTTGTTGGATGTGCCGTACTGGAGGACTGGCGGTGGGCCAATGCACGATTTCGTGTCTGACTGTTCTGCCCCACGACAGATATGGGGGTGTGTTTACACAGGATCTTCCTGATATGATGGTGTCGAGTTTGGTAACGTGACCAGGACGTTACGAGTTAATGGTGTCGATGCCACAAGGCAAGGCAGGGGTTTCAGCCATTACGAGTACAAAATGGAGGCACAATTAGCGTCTCAGTGAAGACAGGTGCATCTGTTCATTGTGGGACTTTAAGAAGCATTGTCTGTAAGTTCGTTTATGTTCTTATAATACTAGGAATGCTGTTATACTGTTATGATTGCTGTTATAATGCTCTACATGCCTTTATAATGCTTTATAATGCTGTTAAATTGTTATGATAAATATGACGCCTAGTTAACAACGAAGCCTGCCACTTGCATTATTGTGAATGTTATTTGTAGTTGGAAAGTCGAGCCAGACTTGTGCCCATGTAACTTTAATGCGTTCTTGAGAGCAAGGACGAAGAAGTATCTCATCCACAGTTCAGTGTTATGTGCAGCACTGTCCATTTGGGCTGCAGTATGGTGATTACACAAAGTGACCTTATTTAACACAGTAGATTATTCTCTTGTTACAGCTATTCAGTGCTAATGTAGGTGCCTGGTCCATCCAGGACCTATCATTCAGATTCAAGTTATCTAAGACAATGTTATGATGCTGCAGTGTTCATTCATTGTATTGATATTGCAAGTATTAATGGATGCTGTATTTTGTGCTGTTTTTCCATGAGTTTTACCTCGTTTTAGTCATTTAATACGTTGGAGTCGGATGTTCACCCTGGCTCTGAAAGTTTATTGAATGCGAGGTTAACTACTCGGATAGTGGTGCAACGCCGCGCACAGCAAGACCGAGACACCGACCGACCCCCACCGATGAGTGTGGGTTTGGGGGCATTGAGCAGTGCCGATGTCGGCTGGCGGTTCTGACTCAGCGGTGGGATGGACGCGATGAACCTTATTCCCCCCGTCGTTTAAACTCTTGACCTTCAGATTGGGCGTTCTGCCAGGGCCGCTACCTTTGTCCAAACGTAATTGCTACAGTAGTTAAGTGGTTTGACATCACTCGGTGAGATGGTAAATGAGGAGACAGAAATGGGAGTGCTGTTTCGACAGGGATTTGCGTTTACACGTAACGTGTAAGCGCATTGTTTTAGCCTGGCAATCCCCTCCATTTCTGAACAGGAATGGGGAGATAATTGTCCGTGGATTTTTCTCTGCCTTGCGGAGGCGGCTGACCTATCTCCAGCACCGCTGAGAGGACTGCGGGGGAACGTGCGGATGCTTTTGATGATTTGTGACACTCGCTCCACCGAGGAGGCACAGTCAACTGAAGGCCACAACACGTGCAGAAATTTGACTGGCGATGTGGGATTTGTTGAAACCGGGGACGGGAGTTACCTCATATGCCAAACAGCTATAATAACCTAAGTTCGATGGCTAACATAGGTTAGTTAATGTCTATCTTGCCACGTTATATTTCCCACTTTTTTATTTAATACATCGCATATTAAGCCCAAACACAATGGAGAATGTGAATATATTATTGCGATTTTCACACTTTTTTATTTAATGTATAGAACACTATGCTTAAACACAATAGAGAAATTAACTTATTGAAATACGAAGCTATGAAAAAAAAAACGCGGCCGATTTTGGCCGATCTTTGGGTGTGACAAATTATCGTGAAACTTCCCACCTGTTATTTCATGGACAGCATGCGAAAACTGCACACAATGGAGGAGTTCACTTTGGTCATAACTGCATTGAGAAACCCTACACACAGATTCCGTCCCTCAATACACTTGCATCGATGGTACAAATAGGAAATCAAACGTTCTTATTAACATGTTTTATTTAGTGTATTGAATCTTGAACATTTTACATGCAAGATACTAAAACTGCTATGTAGAGTATTTCAAATACAAAAAAAAAACTTCTCTCCAGTTCCTTGTTTGTATAAAATGTAAGAAAGTTGCACACATATCTGCGCGAAAAACAACTTTATAATACCTGCAATAAGTACAATAACTTCAAACAATGCACATTCCCTGTAGTAATATACATATCATATCTCAATTATACTGATCATATAGTTAGCAATAACAAGTTTTTATTCGTCAAGAACATAATTTTGTCCATTGGTTGGGTGGAGGGGATGTGGGCACCCAGAGACAACACAGAGCGGCCATCCATTGGTTGGGACGCAGAAATCTGTCAAAACTTGACCCTTCCCACCCCTCCCTGTACGCACGCGGACTTTTTACCCCCCACCTGCGTACGTACGCCTGACGCAACCCCCCCCCCCCCCCTCCGAATCCTATAGAACGGCCGATATTTAATCCACGCAGAAACGATCAAGGATTAATAATATTAACGCGTTTAAAAGATGAGATAGTTCACCACCGGACTATTTAACTCATTTGAAGGCCAATGTAGACAAATAATTATTATCGAGGCTTCACCCCCCCCCCCCTCCACAGTTTCCTATGCGTACACTGTCAGTAGACCCCCCATACGCAAGCGAACGCATTTGGGTTAACCCCCCCCCCCCGCCCCAAATATCGCTCGCCACTCATGTTAGTCTTAACTGGGAATTGAACCAGGTCGTCGTGTTCAGAGCAGGATGTGCTGCTATCCGCTCTTCCAAAAAGAGATGTGACTTCACAATGCATCAAGACATTTATCAACTGTGTAATGAAAACCACTTCTACGCATTTCCTGCGTTATGTATATATGCACGTTTAACTGATTTTGTCCCGTAGGTAGCCAACCGTGCTAATCGGAGGTGCGGGGAAGGATAAACTGAACACAAAAAGCAGTTCTGAAGAAATGAGTTTAACCAACACTAGGACTATGCCTACCTTCTACTTAGAGGCCACAACCAAACACTTTTCGTGTAGAGGTTTCATTTCCTTTAAAAAAAAATCAGCATTGGTCCAGGATTTTGAGAAGCATAACCTTCCCAACACGGAACTGCCACAGAAAATCAAAGTCCTTTTTTGGGACAATTGAGCGTTTAACGCAATTGGAAAACAAAACCAGTTTCGACTCAAACGTTTCAAAAGAACAAAAGCACATGCTTGAGATCAATAACAAATCTTGATCGGAGAGTAAGATCATTTAGATAGTTTCACGAGGCACGCTATAGAACTGCAGTCGTTTTATTTCTCACCATGCGCAAGGACCAATTGATGCCAACACAGTGACATTAACGCAACCTGCGAGACAATGCTCCGTTGAAATTTCCCATCCCCGACGTGATCCAAAAATGAACACTCGACTGCTGAACATCAACAATTGCCCTCTTACAGGGGGCTTTCCCATAGTGGCCTCTTTGCCAGGGTTTTTGTACAAGACCAACACGACCTGGGCAAAACATTTTTAACTGCAGAACAGTAGCACACCACGGATTGGCTTTGCAGCTGCAGGAGAAGCCTTCTTAAAGTTAACCACCAAGTAATTACGAATGCAAAAGTACGTGGACACGTTTGATGCCATTGTTCTGTACCATACATCGATGAGCGCGATTGGCTACGTACGGCTAAGAAAGATGTGCAACGTGCATGTAATTCCCGATTTGTACATTCATCTGAAAAATCTGAACCTGTTTTTTAGTAATTCATATTAGGAAGTTCGTACCAAAATCCGGATGTTTCTGAACACGTGCCCCTTTCCTGACACAAAGAACGAGCGTCGCGTGGCACCGTCCCACGCTGTTTTTCTCATCGAGAAGACATTTTAAATGAGTACATCACGTGTCGTTAAACACGCTACCACCCGACACAGCCACTTAGTATGGTGCCAATTCGTTACGAGTACAGCACACCGGTGTGTTGGAGAGTAAACCCACAACATTTAGAATTTGATTGACGTTTCGCCGGTAATTACAACCAGCTTCAACAGGCGATAACCAGAATTCCCCCCCTAAAAAACTATTATGGACATTGGTCGTGAAAGCCTACGTGTTAAACCGAGTACATCGTGTTATCCGAAAAAGATCCACATCCGAAATCCAATTATGATGAATCCGACACGCATCGCTAGTACAACAGGCCACACTTTAAAAGACAACAGCCATGAGCAGATGCTATAAAGTTTGTTTATTCTCAGTAACACGCATCGCGGAGGTTATCAGGACACATCACGCACCCCATCCTTTGGACACTGAAAGTGAAAAACGTGTCCACGTGATGGTTTCGATTTGCCTTTGCCTCGGGGATTCGACAGCGGCGCACGCTGCGCAGAAATATACAAACGACGATTGCCAGATCACCCGCGAGAGATGGGAGCGTTACAAATAAAGGTTTCAACAAGTGAAACAAATATGTAGGCTCGATTTCACCCTACGTTTAAAAAAGTACTTTCCATTTTTTTGTTTTTGTGACTGAAAATTAATTGCAGTTCAGTGTTTGGTCAGAGGGAAATAAGGCTCGTTGCATTAGAACTCAACTTTGCAGACACAACGATCTTCCTGCATTTGATGTATAATAACCCACTACCACGGTCAGACAGTAAGGCTTATGTCAAATTCGTGTGATGCTCCGACGCCGGTGATGAGCAATGTGAACTAGCCTTGAGGCTGAATACTTTGTACACATAGTTGTAATGCTGCGAACGTTAAGTACTTCAGATTATAGAAAACCGCACCAAACTCGCACGAGTCACTAGGAAACACGACAACTCAAATCGGCCCTTGTGTGCTCGTAAAGAAAAAAAATGTCCATCATCAAAAGTATGGAGCCTACAAAACGTTGCATCACATTCAGGTCGATTATGTCAACAATGCATTTTCCGGTTTCAAGGCGAATTGACAATACTTTTTTTACAAGCTGATTTAATGTTCATACTTTTTAATTGACCTTTGGGAAAACGTGACTGCCCAAATTCACCAATGCACCGTTTGCTGACATGTCCAATCTGGATGATACAAACGTGCAAGTGCTCTTAAGAGTATGTCCTCTGCCTTCGGAGCCATGCGGAACAGAGAGAACAAAAACACATTTGGTAACATTTGGAGAATTTTGTCACGTAACCAAAGGAGCTTTGATGACCTTGTATTCCATTCCGCGCCACCGCGTTTTATTAATCCGTGCATGCAAAGCATGTGGCTGTAAGGTAGAGTCGGGTAATATGTAAAAATGTGGGCGGACTGCCGCACCCGTTCCGAACATGTGATTTATGCTTCACAAGTGTAAATATAGCTTGCTTGACTCCACTACTTGCGTTTTACCGTTATTGTACAATTGGGTATATGCAACACTGGTACATTTTTACGCCATTATTTCCATTAGACGGTACTGCACTGGGGTCTGCACTCGTGGTTCTGCAGCTACTGGACATCTGTGAAAAAGCGGTTCGTATAGCTCATCGGATTCCTCCAGTCTAAATACAGATTCTGCTGGAAGATTCTGGGTGAATTGTATTACCTCTGCATCTTAATAATAAAAAATATCATATTAAAGGAAACCACCTTTGATATGATATTGACACTGTTCGTCTGCATTCTCTTCTTCCCAGTTGTAAAATGTCATTTACAATCCAATTTTCAGATCTAGAGAGAGGTTGCCAGGTTGCATTTGCCTTCAAGGCCGCACGTCACCCACCATACGGTCATGCTCACAGATAAGTGTGCATGCCTCCGATCAGTTAAAAGGGAACATTATTCCAGGCAATTGAAAGCATTTTTTTACGTGAACTTATGTAATAGGTGGCGTTGTGCATTGTGAAGTGTGGTGGTGCAATGCATGGGATATAACGCAACGCAGAAACGGTTTAGTGGGTCTGGTGCAGACGTACTTTGGACATGACGTTTGTGGTTCGATCTCGTGTGGTGAGCATGGATGCACATGTGCAATGTGTTGCGTAGGGTACATTTTCAAATTCACTGCGGTATATAATACAGTTCAATGTATTCACATCATGAAGGATAGCCGATTATAATTCAACGCTCGGCACCGACTTGGACAAGTAACAGTTGGCACGTTAATCAAAACATAAAACATTCCTCATAAATCCTGCCTCTAAATCATATACACTGTTCAATGTCTAACACAGCTGGCTACGACGGCGGGTCACACAAACCTGCATTTGCTATTCGCTTTGTGATTTAAATTGTCATGTGCCACGTGGGGGGGGTGGGGAAGGCAGTGATGCGGCCGGCGAACGGTAACGATATTTTATACCTACGTGACTCTCCCGAAAGAACCAACGAGTATGGATCGCTGCTGTCACCAAAACTTCAAATCTAGAACGAGCGGTAACACGTTGGCCGCTTCATCGCGGAGGCTCGCGGTTTCCCCCGGTGCGTTGACCATCATAAAAAAACACTCCGCTTAACAGTGGCCGGTAAATATATCCTGCGAGGTTCATATGCAAGAGTAGCACGTTGCTTTCTGTCGGCGTCAATCGATCAATAATCGGCCCGCTTTTCCGAAGTTAATTTGGGTCGCGGGGGGGGTAGCGACTCCACCCTCGTGGTCAAACGTTCCGCATTGTAAAATGTACCCGCGAGTTTACTCTGTTGGGAATCTGCGCGACAATAATCGGCCCCTCCCCCCCACTCCTGCAAAAAAAAATTGAATTCCCTGAATTGAAAGGCACATGGCTGTACCCAACTGCCTCTATATATTAAAAAAAAAGTGGGATAGCGCGCGACTGTTACTGTGCGCACAACTGCCGATACGCAAAAACACGAGCTCGTTATCGTTGAGAATCAAAGCAAATCCGTTAAGTGGAGTTGAACACCTTTCACGGCAGCCCAAATGTGTCGTGCCCGTGCACAGGGAGCGCGAGCGCGTCGGGTGTCACCACGAAGCGAGCCTCACTCCCCTCTCCACCCCCACCGCTAGGGGCAGTGCCCGTTCATCCAATGCCACGTTTCCACTGGCACATTCGGGCCGCGCCAGCACGGAGCAGACCTCAGGGGAAGGGTGTTTTTTTCCCCCCCCCACTGGTTATTTGCTGGGCCGCACCCAGAACTAAACCCTGATACAGCTTGGCCTCGAGACATCTGAATCTGGCTCTGGGCTATGCCGGGGCCAGAGTTGTGGTGAATCATTATTTTCGTCACACGTTTTGTCAGTCAAGACAATTAAACGGTATGACGCGGTGACACTGCGTTCACCATAAGCGGCTATGATGCCACGCGATTGGTTCTTCCGCTCAGTTGTGTTAAGTTTACAAACGACAAGGCAAAGAAATATAAAATGAAGGCTTTTTATACAATTATGCTAACCTAACCTACCATTACATTATTGTCTTTAGAGCTGCTTTTTGTGTTTTCAGTTTGTCCTTCGCCCGCACCTCTGATTGGCGCGGTTGGCTACGTACGGTGCAAAATAAGTTCAACATACGTATATACATTTGAAGTTTGCTTAAACCAAGTATAAAAACAATATATTTTACCTACTACTACCACCCACCCCCTGGCCACAGCAACATTTCTACCCAGGTCACTCTTGCATATCACTCAACCTGGTCTCTGGAGTTCTCACCCCGAGCTATCCAAGAGAAGTATGCCATCTCGAGGTGGATCACGAAGGGGTGCGGAGTGGGAGCGGCAGGGGCACGGTTTGGGTAGTATCGGTGCATTCCGGCCTGTAGATGCATTCGGGGGCTGTTCCCAGTCACGAATGGAAAGAATCGGCCCATTTTAAATTGCTCATAAAACATACCATGCATGTTCTTAATGGACACGCCCATATTAATGCTCCCAGAGACAGATTCGTCGCTGTAGGATCCTATCGGAGGGTGTCTATATGTCGACAAGATGCCGGTGACAGGGTGAGAAGAGCTGTATGCCCGGTGCCATGAATGCAAGCACAGAGGCGCCTTGTGTGTGAAGGCAAATGCCCGGCAATGAACTCATTCACTAGCCAAACACTCGTGGCTCAATTCGTGCTACTGCACAGTTTCGTGTCCCACAGTGACATGTAGTGTGTTGCTGTACAGTTCATGAACGGGAGATATATTCATACCACACGTGGATACACGACACTCGCTGCACGATTTTGGGACGCGTTCAACCTCGGCGTCGTTGAAGACCTTTTCGGTGAACATATTAAACACTCGCATTGCACGAGGATGTGCAGTGCCTTTTACATTACCCACGAGCAACACACGTGACGTTAGACTAACCTATGTCTTCGCGCATAATTGGGATGGATATTTATTACAAATCGCCTGGAGCGGTAAACTTTGTGATGCAGCCGCCGCCGCAGTGATCCAAATCAACCGAGTGCCAAGGGCCCCGATAGGTTCCGCTGGCCACAAGTAGAAGACACTTCGGTGCCACTCCCAAGACTGCCACACTTCCTAGAGACGCTGGATGTGTTCAAAAAAAAAAAAAAACCTCGTTGCGTTGGTTAGAATTCACATTGCTGACGGGCACTGCTTTTTTCATAGCATCGCAACATCTGCAATAATACCTTGTACCGTGAAAAGACATTCGTAGCTGACGTGTCGGGATGGCAAAGAAACTAAAATGTATTCCAATGTGTAAAAAAAAAAAAGGCGCGAGGTGTCAAAATATATAACGAGCTGGAAATCCGGACACTGCAATGAACACATCTGTTGCTCTTCACCGCACGGCAGGGCCGTTCGCTGCCTCACGCGGTCACAGAGAGCGAGGCCGGAGCAGGGGGCCCACTGGGCCGTGCAGCAGCTGTTGACAAACACTGCGGAACGCTACGACGGGCTGCGACCTCGCACGACGCGGCGGACACGCGAAGATGCAAGGAGAACATTTTCAAACAGCTCTGCTTCCCCGGGTCCAGAAGCTGAACGGGGTGAATGGAACGGAGATGAAAACGGAGCTGAACGTCGCGCCTCCGTGAATGACGACGGGGAGCAGTTACAGCGGTGCGCTTTAATTGGATTCAAGTGTGATATAGTGTAGTCGTGGTTCAGCATTGCGCAGTGTTGTGTAGAATGTATTGCGTTAAGTGTAATACAGCAACAATCCCAGTGTGATCCATCATTAACACCTAATAATAATTTGCATCGTTTGTCGAAAATACGAGCAACGAAACAAGCAATGTGCCTCCTTCACACATCTGTCCCTTCTTATAATCTCCACGCTGCTCATGATTATTTTGTGTAATTTCTTATTTTAAAAAAAACTCAATTTTATTTTATTTAAGACATATCTCTAACAGAGGATCCTTGCGCACAAATGGCAATTCAGCAGCACCTCCAATCAGCACGGTCGGCTACGTATGGTGCAAATGAAGCTCAACATACATAAGCCTGATTGGGCTGCTGATAAGACAATGAATGTTGAAAGCGGTCCAGTTTGCTTGTGATGGGATATGTAAAAACAAAAATACACGGAGGGATAAATATACGAAGGAGACGTATCGTCTGCTTATTTACTTTGTTCTCTATATTCTCCACAACCACGGCGAATGGTTATTCTGCTCTATGATGTGTTGCAGCGTTTGTATACACAGCAAGACTCTTGTGAGACCACACCCCACAGCACATGCACCACCCAGCACGAGTGCTGGGCGATGTTTCAAGTGAGGGTGCCCATGGAAGGCAGCACAGAGCCCTGTGTCTGTGTCCCCCTACATCCTGCTGTATTGCTTCTGCACCACTCCCCCCAGCCACTGCCTCTGGCACGCAACACGATAACCCTGTCCTTCTGTGAACAATCACTTTCGTCATCAATAATGCTCCCTTACCCGCGGCGCGTAGGGTCTCTCTCATCGAGTGTGGTTAAAAAAGTCAAATACAGAAGGCTGGGGGGAGTGTGTGGTGAAGAAAAGCGACACCTCGTGTTTAAGTCGACGGGTTCATATACGGTTTAGTGTGCGCTGCGTTGCACCACAATCATTCGCAGCGTCATCTTTTCACGTACTCCTCGTCTGCGAAATAAACCAAAACGTTCCCTTCTCCGCAGAAGCCAGGCGAGTGACGAATCCTTCGGGGCGCCCACCACCGCGGCGCCACATTGGACGATGACGCGGCTCGTTGGGACACGGCTCGTCGGCTCGGGCGGTACGCGAGGAGTCGCCCCCACGCTGCCGCGTGCCGTGCCGGCGCCGCCCGCGAGCTCTTAGTCGAGCGGGGTCGGGTCGGCCATGGGCATGGTGTGCAGCACCTGGTCCAGCAACTGCAGGGCGCGGTGCAGGTGGATCTCGATCCAGCACGGAGTTTGCTTGATGCTCTGCCGCGGGTAGTCGGGACCCCAGCCCTTGACGAAGCTGAGGCGCAGGATGCAGAGCCGGCGAAGGTCGTCCACCCCGATGCCCGCTGCCGCCGACAGGCCTGGGAAGGAGGGGTGGGGGGGGGGGCGGCACGCCTCTGTCAGTTGCGTGAGGAATAATGAAACGAATGACGTTGTGGTGTCACATAACCATCGTGCTGTCAATGATTCTGGAACATAATTTTTACGAAGCACTAGTGTGATTGGTAACAGCTATTCCCGCTCCGTTTAGAATTTTGTGCCATTTCTATTGCATACATGTTTTGTGAGACAATAAAATATGAAAAAAAAACCGACGATAATCCCGAAATAATGATATTTTGCAACAACAATAAAACCGATACAGTGATCGCTGACCTTACATCGTACGATACATCATATTACCATATTGTGCCAGGGAGGGTGGAGGCTAACCAGTCTGGCAATGTGGCTTCTGCTATATAATCCAGCTCACAAGTCAGAGAAGTGAGGGCCCATTGAACTTAACAATTCTGAGCCACAATTATTACAGATGAAGCATCACGAGTGACGAGCACAACCTGGTGGCTCATAACGGCAACAGGTGCAAACAAAAGTCCAAATCTCCTCCTAGTTAGAGCAAAAAAGAGCACCGGTAATGTAAACACCACATTTCTATGACATCGGCCAGGTTCTCCAAAGGGGGCAATCACTATTGGTTTCCAACAAAGTGGTACTCATTCTATTGTCCCCAGAATAATGATGGGCCGCCAAGTCACCCACTATCCCCTCCCGAATGACATTTGAAGCTCATAATCGTGAGGAGTTAATTGGACCCATCATCTCTCCAAGTTGTTTTTTAGCAAGGGACTTCATTTCATTTTTCTGAGATGGCAGTGAGATTTTCACCCTAGCCGAGGATGCCGACCAGATGAGTAGCTTCCCACACTTGTCTGTGTACTGTACACGAATGCATACGAGCATAACGTGCAACAACAAAAAGGCACTTGGAAGTGTTCCTTTAACATTGTATTCAGACTATTTCTGCTATAACTTTGTTTTACCGGATAAGGCTCACTGAGCTATATTCCTTTTTTCAAAAGAGAATTGTCCACAAATAATAGCTCAACGAAGTGGCATATCATGCAAGACATTTCTAGCAGCCAAATACTTGTAAACGCATGTTTCTAAATGTGGAGGGAAAAACCCAGAGGACCCTGAGAAAAATCCACGCGACTACGGGGAAGGAGAGACACGCAAACTGGAAATATGCGGGCGTCAGGGTCGGGATCGAACCCACGAACTGCTGTATACCAGGCGAGGTAGTCATCTCTACTACCACCAACGTTCGCATAGACAATGCTGCGTTGCCGACGAAGACGACAGCTGCCGCTTACTGATGGCAGGAGCGATGCCCCCAACGGAGCCCGGCCCGGGGATGTTTCCGGCCACCGCCGCAGCCTGCGCCGCTGCAGCCGCCTGCGCCGTGGCCGCCTGCTGCTGCATCTGCCGGTGGCACTGGCGAAGGTCGAACACCTGGCGGGCACAGCGAAACGCCCAAGACACGGAAACGCTCGCACGCAGCGGGCGGTGCCAGAATTGCAGACAGGTTCCCCCGTTTCAGCCTTCGATAGAGGAGTTAAGGCGACGCGTCACGCCCGCCGCGGTACCTTGATGTAGGCGCCGGGGTAAATCTTGTGCACCGCGTCTCCCGGCGCGCGGCCTGCCTCACGGTCCAGGTAGTAGCTCTGCACGAAGACGGCGTGATCGCTGAGGCAGCGCACCCACACGTCCCCCTCGCCGCGGCACTCCAGCTGAACGCCCTTGCCGATGTGCAACCTGCCAGCGTCACCCCGTCAGTTTGTACGCAAACCAAATGCATCCGCTCTGTACAAGCAGTGATCTGTGGTCCTCTTGTTTATTTATGGCGGCTGAAGCTAAGCTCTTCCCATCATCCGCATTATCAGCAGATAACAGAAAGCATTAGGAAGAAGGCAAAGCTGAAAATATTTTTAAATGGTGAGTTTTATATCGCCCACTACATAGACCAGGGTGTCACAGGCAAAGTGCCCATAGCAACTACGATCTCATGGCGCGGTGATGTGGCCCAGCGGCGGCGCGTTCGCTGTTGAGCAGTTCGCGGTTCGAACCAGTCGATATGAGATCCGAAACAGTAGGCCGTTGCGTGCCGGTGTCAAGGTACAAATATTCCCAAATTTGAAAAATTACCCATAAATTACAAATATACATAGCAATCACTGGCTCCAACTGAGATTAAGTGAAGCTTTCCTGGGTCTAAATAATTGTAATAATTACAATAATAATCGTAATCCCTTGTTGTCACATCAATCTGTCTGGTAAATGATTCTGCCACGTAAAATGTCGAGACGTTACAATCAAAATGTGTATATTCTTCAAAGGTCCTGGCTGTTTTCAGTACGTTACATGGGAGGTTTGTATTAGGATGGTGTCGGATGAACAATTACAAAGGTTTAGAGTACACAGTGATAATTAGCAAGTCTCAAAGTCACTTTTGGTTACTACTGACAAATGTTTGATCTTAATTATATTTGAAAAAAAGTGTCTTTGCAAACTTAACTGGCATCAAATGTTTGATTTTCGTAAGCTTTCTCTTCCGTAACCCAGAACTTTAAGCCAATCTAGTCGAGAAAATGAACGTGCTTATCTCGTTCATCCAAGAAAATAGGAAAATCAATACAAGTGAACATTCCATAACCGGTGACACAGAAAAAAAGAGAGGGCCTTCCTTTATGAGTAACAATATTCCCATGTGTAACACACTACGCCGTGAAGGACTGAAATCCTGCAGCGCCCGCAAGGTCCCCCTGCTCAAGAAAGCACATATACATGTCCGTCTGAAGTTTGCCAATGAACATCTGAATGATTCAGAGGACAACTGGGTGAAAGTGTTGTGGTCAGATGAGACCAAAATGGAGCTCTTTGGCATCAACTCAACTCGCCGTGTTTGGAGGAGGAGGAATGCTGCCTATGACCCCAAGAACACCATCCCCACCGTCAAACATGGAGGTGGAAACATTACGCTTTGGGGGTGTTTTTCTGCTAAGGGGACCGGCCAACTTCACCGCATCAAAGGGACGATGGACGGGGCCATGTACCGTCAAATCTTGGGTGAGAACAACCTTCCCTCAGCCAGGGCATTGAAAATGGGTCGTGGATGGGTATTCCGGCATGACAATGACCCAAAACACACGGCCAAGGCAACAAAGGAGTGGCTTAAGAAGAAGCACATTAAGGTCCTGGAGTGGCCTAGCCAGTCTCCAGACCTTAATCCCATAGAAAATCTGTGGAGGGAGCTGAAGGTTCAAGTTGCCAAACGTCAGCCTCGAAACCTTAATGACTTGGAGAAGATCTGCAAAGAGGAGTGGGACAAAATCCCTCCTGAGATGTGTGCAAACCTGGTGGCCAACTACAAGAAACGTCTGACCTCTGTGATTGCCAACAAGGGTTTTGCCACCAAGTACTAAGTCATGTTTTGCAGAGGGGTCAAATACTTATTTCCCTTGTTAAAATGCAAATCAATTGATAACATTTTTGACATGCGTTTTTCTGGATTTTTTTGTTGTTATTCTGTCTCTCACTGTTCAAATAAACCTACCATTAAAATTATAGACTGATCATTTCTTTGTCAGTGGGCAAACGTACAAAATCAGCAGGGGATCAAATACTTTATTTCCTCACTGTAACAGAAGATTCACCTCTTCATCTAGTTGGTTAGGTTTGTGTTTTGGACATTCAAATATGGGAATTAAAAGAAACGAGTAATTCTAATCATATTTTAGAAATTAGTTTTGCTGGCTGACTGGCTTCCTGGCTGCCTGAGTTGCGGACAGATGAGCGCGCGTGTGCGGTGGTGACATCACCGCAACAAGTAGTTCCTGAGCTGCTTATCATGTTAAGTTTGTTGTCCTTCCCCCGCACTTTCCCCCGCACTTTCCCCCACAACCGATTAGCACGGATGGCTACGTACGGTGCGAAAGAAGTTCAACTTTCATGCATAGCACGCACGTCCGCGTGATGAGGTCACCCGCATCCTACAGCGTAGGGGCAGGGTTCATGCTGACGCCTCCCCTCCCACCCATCCTCCACCCTGGCCATGTATCCCTAGCAAATGCGTGGGATACGCTATCATACTATTACATCATACGCAATGAGAAAAAAGTGTGGCTGGCTCGTTGGCTGGCGGGGGAGGGAGGCGTCGAAAGAATGTGTGGGCTGTTAGTTTCATTGAAATATATTTGTCAACATGTGATGACAACCTGACTTACATGGCTCACGGGAGTGTTTATTTGGCCAGGAGGCAATGCTGGTGGAGCCACTCACAAGTTGCGAGTTCAAATCCAGGTCAGAGGATTTCTCAGCACAAGGGTAGAGAGAATGGCTCTCACCAACAGAGGACTTTTCTTTTGTTACAACGAAAGTTTTAATCCACCGGTATACACGGTTTATTTCCCTGGCTCCGACATCACCGGTAATACAAGCAGCGGTTTCCCTATAACCATTCGCCATTGTTTGTATCGAGCCCTGGCAGCGGTAGAGCACAGGTGAACGCACGCACGCACGCTCACCTCGCTCTCTCGCTGGCATCGGTACGGTGGACGTTGGACAGCTGGCCCAGGCAGAAGCGGTCTCCTCCCGACGGGTCCACGTAGCCGTCCACCGTCACCACGGGGCAGCTGGAGGGCACCTTGAAGGTCTCCCCCACTTGCACGTCCATTTCAAAGTAGGCGATGGAACACCAGAACTCTGGCCCCGCTGAAGGTGTTCAACGTAAACAATACACGGGCTTGACGTTGCACAGAGCTCAAATGCATGCAAGGTAACTTCCAATTGAGACCGATGGCAGGTCATTTGTTTATTCAAAGGACACCTCAAAGAGTCTTGTGGGCTGTTCCTAAGAAGGGTCCCGTTTGGGCTGTTCTGCTACGTCCTTGGCCGCCTGACAAACACCCACACGTGACGGGATAACTCAGAATCCACATCCGGTACTGCAAAACACCCAGCGGGCGATGTTCACACCGGACTCCTTGGCACGGCGTTATGTGTCACACCTCATACACCGTATGGTGCCTGGATGTGCGTGGATAACCTCGGGTCCGCACAATCTGCACAATTCCAGGCTGCAGCTGCACAAATCCAGCCTGCAGCTGAGCAGTGCTCACCCTCACTCCCCCATGTGCCTTCACGGTGAAATAGCCAAACATAGCCACCACCTGAGCATCTCGCAAACACGACGTTACTGTGCTCTGTTCGTTTTTTGCATCAATGCACCCAGAGCTGTGTCGTACCTGTGACCTTTCACAGGATAAGGGCATGGCAACTCCCCCTTCCATCTGTATATATTTAGAAATTTAAGCCCGGTCGGGATGACATTTTCATGCATTAAATCATTCAAACTGGGAATCTTTTTAGTGTCCACGAACTCTAAGCAGAATAACAGCAACGACACGTTCAATTGATTGTAAAACAAAAAGTGACACCGAATGTCTGTAGAGGTGAAGCCCTGTGCTCGATTTTTGACGCCAATGCTGGCGGGAGGGCCCCCCTCCGCCGCCAACTAGGACGGTATTTGGCCTACTCTTCCACACTCGTCAGATGTCTTGGAAGAGGTGGGAGCACCCAGACCGTACCTTACCAGACGCGACTGCTGGATGTGTCTGTAATATGAATTTCCATAAGCATTTATTATTTGTAAATTTCCTGGACCGTTGCTTGTAAAACAAACGCAGCCAAGGCAAAGTAACGGAACGGCTTCACACCGCTGGCCACAAGGGCTCCCATGTGGTGTTGACGACAGGGATTGAGAAGGCCCTCGTCTCAACGTATCAATCAATGTATCGTTGCAGGCGCAAGCCCCTCACCCGGGTGTGCAGAGATTGGCGGCTGGAAGGTGAGCTCGTTGTGATGAGAGGGCCCTGAAAACAAAATGTTCCAGACAAACACGTTTAGGCACCTCGACTCTTCGCAAAAACACACGTAGACACCGTTCAACACGCAGGCTTTCACGACCAATATTATTCATAAAAAAGGTGTCTGGGTTAGATTGCGTAAGTATAAATGTGTCGTAACCCTCGACCACCCGACACAGCCAGTAAGGTTTGTCATGTAAACAATGCGCCAGTTAGTTACGACTTCAGCCCACCGGTGTGTTGGAGAGTAAATCCACAACATTTACAACTTGAGTAGTACGACGTTTCACTGGTAATTACATCCAGCATCATCGGGCGATTTGCCAGAATAGTGAAGCAATCCACTGTGCAATCATAAGAGGCGGTAGATAATTTGAAACGTTTGCACACTCATATTCTTGGTTCTTTCGGTAAAGTCACGTAGAAGGGAAACAATAAAATAATAAAAATCTAAAACAATACAATTATCACGACGCTTCGACTGCAACACAAGCAATCATCATCAGGTGTGAAAACCACAGCAAGAAAATTTGAAGAAAAAAAAACGCCACTTTTTTCTAATTTTCTTGCTGTGGTTTTCACACCTGATGATGATTGCTTGTGTTGCAGTCGAAACGTCGTGAGAATTTGATTGTTTTATATTTTTATTATTTTATTGTTTCCCTTCTACGTGACTTTACCGAAAGAACCAAGAATATGAATCCCTGCAGTCACGAAAGCTTTAAATCAAAAGTTTGCACACTCGTCGAGTGTAAAGGAACCCGCTGGGGGACGAAAGGGACAAGTCGAGTTAACGTAATTGCGACATACGACCCACAGGGCTCTATCTGAAAGAATAAAAGCTCGACGAACTGGAGCATGAACTCGGAAATAAACTGGGACATCGTTGCCATCATCGAGGTGAGAATGGGGGGGGGGGGGAGTGCATTTTCATGCATTCAATCAAGTGCAAATGTCCTAAAAGCAGCAGACAAGTTTGAGTAAATTACAATAATTAAGGTAACGAAAGAGATGGCTGAGAATCGTGAAGGAGTCGAATTCATTGTCTGTGAATTATACAGATAGACATGGTGAATAGAGGAAGAGGTTTTATGTGGAACAAAGCACATTTCATGTGGGCGGCAGACTCCACTGCATTCCGATTCTCTTTCAATAGCACCACGACAATTTTTTTGTAAAATGTTCTGATCATTCAACTTGCTCGTACATGCTTTTGCAGATGCCAATGAGTAATTGTGTTGCCTTGTTCCAAGGATTTTCAGAGACTCTTCAGCTACCCCATCTATATACTCAGCCTTGCTGTTTCTTCTTGTCCTTGATGGTTGCTGTTGTTTGGCTGTCTAAAGTGTCAGGCCCGTTTGTTAACAGCTTCTACTTATTCCTCTAAACCTCCACGCTTGGCCTTCCTTATCGTGAAGTGTCTCAATGAATCTACATCGAATCTCCTCTGGCCCTGTCAATATCTCCCCATTCTTCGCCTTTATTTTCCCTTCGCTTGTTTCTCGTCTCAAGATATTCCTGCACCTCCTTGAGTTTCGCAGACATCAGGTGTGTTTGTTCTCTCCTGTCAAGCTTGTTATTATTACGTTTGATCAGACTCCTTCTAATCAGGCACTAGGCCACGAGTCTTTGTGAATAATGGAGGAAGGAGTCGGAGAAGAGTAAACCCAAACGAGAAACCCACCGTTAAGTTATTCATTCTTTTCTGCTTTTCATATTTGGCAATTTAAGGTAAGGTTTAATACGTTGAACACATCCTGATCTGTACGATCGCTGTGCTGAGATTTATATTTTTACAATACCCGCAATACTGTTGCCATGGTATTGTTGTTGACAGCAGTCGGTTCATGAATAGCAAAATACAATGCCTGTAAATCGGTCAAATTAACTGTAAAGCATGCTGCAATGCAGAAAAAAACTAAAATCACGAACAAAACCAAGCCAGCCCTCGTAAGCACGCACTGCATTCGCAGCCCACAGTCCAGAAACAAACAGCGCTCGTCGATGCCACTTCCATCCCATTACGCAGAAAGCATCTGCAGCAGACATTTGGCGTCCTTTTTACTCAAGAGTGAAGGTCTGCATAAAGCCTTGGGCTCTTGTTATTTCCTATTTGGCAGCGCAGTTCAATACAGGTCAGGTCCCCCGATGCGAACACAAATGCACCCCCCCCTCCCCACTTGCGCTTCGCCCGGCCGTCCCCAGCCGCCACACCGCCGTCTCTTCACCGTCGCCGCCAATCGGATGCGCGAGCGAGCGGTACACAGCCGCACGAGCGCACGGCACGTCCTCGCTCGGGTTTTAGTCAAAAAGGGGTCGCTCGAGTTTCGTCTGCCGAGATATGTCACGCGACAAAAGGGAGCGTTCCCAAACGGAACACGATGTTCTATGGCATTGTCCGAGCGTGTTTTTTTTCCGGAGAGCGCCGGGGGAATGGTAAACACTTGAATTACAATGCACGACGTAAAATAATGCCTTTGGCTCTTAACAAAAAAACAGTCATTGAAATTCTGTAAAGTAAAAGAAAGAATCAATGTAATTACAGGCGACTATGTTGAAATCCTGTACATGTAGGATGTCACAAGGTGTTTTGATAGTGACCTTTATTTTAAAAAAGAAATTATAACATTATTTTCCAAGGGTTGACACCAGCACAGATTCACAATTTACTCTCATAATTGGATGTATTGCAATTCTATACAGTTATGGACGATTTGGTAATGTTAATGGTTTGTAACAAAGGCTGTGCAGGAGACTCTGATCGTCCATTATTGAACTGCCAGATGATTTTTTGTTTTCCTAAAGCCACAATGCGTCACTAACAGCAGCGGACTAACAACAGCGGACTAACAACAGCGGACTACTCTTATCCACCATCATTGAACCTGAACACCCCTTCGTGTGCTATGGCAAGCAGCTCTCTGTGCTTGTTTAAACTGATGGTTGACATTCATTCAATTTAAATGTTGGGTATTGTGTTTGGCACCGATTACTGCATTGATATATACGTGCTGAATCTCGCCTAAATGCATACACTGAATGTTAGATATTAAATATACCAAAAAAAGGTATTTGTTTATTAAAAAAACGTATATGCTTTTAATACTGTGTTTATAGATCTCTTTAAAACATAAATAAAGGGAAAAGATTGTTAAGTTGCATATTACATTTTTAACAGTGTTAATACAATAAAAATTCACAATATTTCAAACGTAATTTGATATCTTAAAAACTCTCTCTAGCCATGCCGCACAATTAATAAAGTAACCCGCATATAACCGAGGCTTCCAGAATGGAGCATAATGATGCGTGACATAGCGTATGTCACGCATTATGACATACACTTGCCTGGCTTTAAGTTTTCCCTGTGGTAACCACCTCTGGGCACCACTCAAATGCCTGTCTTGGGAACCTGTCAATCCAGTATAGGTGCGCGCCTAGCCATTGCAACCTCCTCTTGTTGGGTCAAAAATTTTTTTTATTTCGATTTGTACCACTCATAAACTTTCAAGTTGCTTACCGTGTCCTGCCATAAAATCCTCCGAAGGCAAAACAAAAATTTTATAGTTTTTTTGTTCCTGTTAAAATCAGCACGAGACAACTGACACGCCCTGAGTACAGGTAAGGAAATATGCAATTTAAAAGTGGGTTTTCCTTATTAAAATACGAAACACATATTTAACGACGTCGGTACAGTGAGCCTCCGAGAGTCAATTGTGCACACAGCCAGAGTCCACCTTGTGGGATGAGTAACACTCACAGTAGTGGTTGGGGTGGTGCAGGGGAGGATGATGCTGCAAGGGCCCGTTCTGATGGTGGACCATCGAGGGGGTGTAGGTGGCTGTGCTGCTGCCCGTCCAGTTTGTGACGCTACCTGTATCAAGATACGCACACGCGGGAAATGTGACAAAAAGCGCACCGCCACTTCCAAAAGTGGTGTAACAAATTCTAACACACAATGCAAACCGTTTGCAACAATGCCGCCTAAATATCGCACAGATTTTAAATCAAAGCCAGCCTGTTGGAGATCTCTGGACCTGAAAGATTGCCCACGGATATTTTCCTACCATAGCCGTGGAAATGCATCTCTCTCAATGACAATTATAACGTGTTAGCACATGCCATATTGTCTATAGAAGAGTGTGGGAATGACCAAAATAATCACTGTACAATGATGGTAACATGCCACATCCTATAAAGCACTGCTCTTTTTAAGTTCTATTTTCTTCCCACCATTATCTGTGATTGGTTTGCTGAACCTGCATAGGAATAGAGCCAAAAGGAACCACACACCTAAATTTTGATTTAAAGCTTTCGTAACTGCAGTAATTCATATTCTTAGCTCTTTCGGTAAAGTCACGTTGAAGGGAACCAATAAAATAATAAAATATATCAGTTTGTCGATGGGGAAAAACAAACACACAATGGGAGAATGTTGCATTTATCGAGCAAGCAGACACGTGCTTCTGTGGACATGGCCTTCGGTACCACTTTTCCACTCGTGCATCCGAGCCGAGAAAATGTGCGGTCACCATGGTGGCTGAGTTGGAACAAAACCCTGTTGAGATACAATGGTCAAAACAAGACATCTGTATCTCAGAATCAGAATATTTATTCATACTGGAGGAGTCCGATGAGCTATAAAGCTCTTTTTCACAGATGTCCAGTAGACATTTGGCTCAGGGTTAAGCAGCCAAGGCTAGTGACATGTTCATTGTGCGTAACATCAGTTGGTACACAACGTGAACACAGCGTCACCCATAACCTACGTGTGTCCCACGTAACCTAATTTATTGCGTGTGTTGGCAAAGGCACGGCTCGGCTTCTGCACTGGGAAAACACTACCTGGTGCCGCCTCCGTAGCCGAGCTGAGTTGGCTCGGCACAGCCCCAGCGTGGCTCGGTTGTACAGTGGAAAAGGGGTACGAGTCTGCACACCCAGCAGGAATCTCCTCCGATTTTTAGTTAACGCGTTTAAACAGATGGTAACCGGTAATTCACCAGCAGTAACGGGACCGTTATTTATGCTCCTATTGTGTTTTTCTTGGACCCAATGGTGAAACCTGCATAACAGCAATGGGGTTAATGGCTGCACTGACAGAAGCAATGGGGGGGGGGGAGGGGTGCACAAGTGGCTACATGCAAGCCCATAAAATTAGAAGACAGAGAGTGGAGCTTGAAGCACAGGACTCACTGGCAGGGGACGGTGTAGTTCCTGCTTTGGGGCTTACGTTGGTTACCTCCTCCTCCTCTGAGACAGCAAGCCAAAGGACTTAAGCGTTAATGTGCAATTAATCAGGGTCGATTGGTAATTAATAATTGTGAAAATAAAATAAAATGAATGCTACCGCGCGCCGGTTCTCGTTCTGCACATCTTATTTTCTTTTAAAAAAAAAAGCAAATTTAGATTGACGCAAGGCAGTGTGTGTTAAATAGCGCTTTTCAAAAAATGTTTCATCAACCGTGCTTTTCGGTCATACCTTCTTCATAGGTAGCTACAGCTCCGAACATCAGAATACCCAGTGAACATTGCTTTAACAGGGAATAAACCTCATCGTGACTCAATGAAATTGAATGCGGTCTAAGATTGCCTTCTTTCAACAATATTAATTTGTCATTTAAAACGGATGACGCGTATTTGATTTGATCATTAAACAGACTCACCTTACTTTTTTTCTGTAATTAATGTTTATCTGACAATTATTCAAAAAATAATTTAAATGCCATTGCTTAAAAATTGGCAGAAACATGCCAATTAGACAACCAGTGCAAAGTGCAAACATCTGGTGTGTATGAAGACCATGCACTCACTGTGGAAAGGCTGCGATTGAGCTGCAAATCCGTTGGGTTGGTTGGCTTGTTGCTGGCTGCTCGATATGGGTAGGATCCTGTCTCCCTGGACCAAGGGCAGTAATGAGCCACTTTGGCCTGCAATGCATGTTAACTTAAAATTAAGAGGTCTGCTTTGACCATGGCCAACTATGTTAAATGTTATTATAATACAAAGGCCTTACCACAGTGCAATATGTTAAATGCAAAATCCACTTGCTGTGACTTCTTAGACATCCGCTAAAGAAGACTAACATTCATCTCAATTATTCTTGACCGGCTCGTGTGTTCAAATGACAAGTCCAAAATGTAGCAATACTTTTAATTGTATTGATTAAAAAAACACATATTAATTCCTAATCACTACAATCAAATGTAAATGTGGTTACATCATGAGAAAATGCAAATGGTAGCAAACAATCCTCACGGCAGTATCAGGGAATGAATAATCATAATAAAACTTTATGCAAGAATGACATTTAAACAGAAGCAGCACATGCAGTTACAGCAGTTGAAGCAATACATTAAATTGTTATTTGCTGACATTGGCAGTGGTGGCCTTTATTCATAGCACATATATCTCTGGCTTCTATGTGCAATGATGAAGGGCCATTGCCCAACACATCACTTATTATATATATCTTAGAGCAGTGTTATTTTACATGTGTTTAGTTGTCATTTTAAGGATAATGGTGAACAAAAATAACAATAATGGGCATCACAACAAAAAAGCAGTAAAGAATTGGCATCAGGATGGTGGCCTGGCAACTGTAGAGGACATTATAGATTCTGCTGTCAAATATGCTGAACTACTACTTAAATTATTACAGGGTCAACCCAAAAAAAGACAAGTATAGTTCACCTATTCTGTAGATACACCAGATACACAATTGTGTCGTGAATGCTGGGCCGTCTGACCCACGTTTGAATCATAATTGAGAAAATTAAGCTTTCTTTTGGGGGGAAATCCCAAAATTATATGTCACCACCACACCCTCTCTGGCTTTGAAGGCCACGTGAAATATATAAATATATTTCTTTAGGACAGGCTCGTATTTGGTGGCCCAGCTGAAGGCACATCTGCAAAAATCTCAGCAATTATGTGGAGTCAACTTCTGGGACCATCTACCGATGAAGCGATCAGTGCCATCCTTACGTATTCACCAAACCGTGCCTTGATCTGCCCAGTGTGGTGACTCGAATTCAAGGGAGATAGAGCTAAAAAAACACATACAGCTGTTATTTTGGTGATACATATCAAGGCTCTTCATCAAAAGCAGCTCAACATGGGCTGTAAGCTTCTGAACGAAATAATGTAGGTTTTTTTTGTTGTCAAACCAGTCTCGGACAAGGGCCTCCATCGCTGCAATGGTCACGGGGGTTGTTTGACCATTCTTCGCCATCCTGATCAGTATGGGTTGGTTAAGCAGGGGACCCAACATCGGTTCAGATATCACTCGGCACTGAAGTTAGAATTGGCCCGGAATCGAACTCGGGTGGCTGGTTTCACCGGGTTCATAGTTCGCTCGTCACAACCACGTGACTTTCAGGACGCACCACTAGAGCGCCGCTAGCGACATCACAGCCAGGCTGAAGTTTCCTCGCTCTCGTTCACGACGTCAGAGCCCACTTGACCCTGGCGACGTGACGGTGAGCGTGCAATGCTGCAATGTGCTCCACGTTAGTCTATGGAGCCCGGCAAGCAGCGGGGAAGGCCCTGATGTAATGGCTACATATAAGAACGTCCACCGGCATGCAACCGATCTCGTCAGGTCATGCAAGCTAAGCGGTTTTGAGCCTGAACAGTGCTTGCATTTGTGACCACCATGCACAAAACAGGTGATGTGGGCTTGCTGTGGGGCTAATTTGCTAGCAGAGGGCAGTAATGCAATTAAGTGCTTGTACTGGACTATGCTCCAACGTCTATGCTTCCCACCTTCAATCAACCCACATTGATCAAGTCTTACGTAATTCAAATTAACTTTCATGACCCGCACGGTGTTGGGAGGCCCTCATCTAGCAGTGGACTCAAGGGCTCTTGCATGATGGCTGCATCCCAACCCTGCAGCCAGAAGCATGGCTTTAATAATTAAATTATCAGATTTTTATTTACACAAGCAGCTTTCAACTTTTTTATTTAAAGCTTTCTTGACTGCAGGGATTCATATTCTTGGTTCTTTCGGTAAAGTCACGTAGAAGGGAAACAATAAAATAATAAAAATATAAAACAATAAAATTCTCACAACCTTTCGACTGCAACACAAGCAATCATCATCAGGTGTGAAAACCAAGAATATAGCTTTCAACTTGTGCCATAGATCAATATTACTTGTATTAATGGAATAGAAAAGCACCCGGTTGTTTTATTGGATTTCTTCTTCATTCAATACCATGAAGATACATTAATAAACATGACAGCCAATTATAATTGTTAATAAGCACCTGAAATCATCAGCAACTGTAATTAATATAGCATCCTTCTAGGTAATGAAACAAAGTGCAGGATAATCATGAAGCTGAATGTAATTATAAAACATGTAGTATCAACACTCTATAGAATGATTATATATCATGTCCATTGTCATACAGTAATGCATGGTAAATGAAACGAGAAAGACAGATGTAAACAGGATCACATCGGTGGAGAATGGCAAAGTGAGCACGAGACAGGATAGCCTCAAAACTGTAGTAAATTAAATTCTATCATTCACATCTAAAACGTATTAATATTGTGCTCAACAAATGGATTTGCATGCAAAATGTTGTGTTCATTCATATTCAGCAAGTACCATTAAAATGCAATTAAATGTACGTTCGCTCTTGTTCTGGGCTCGCTTGACAACCGCTGTGATAACTGAAACATTTCTTCTCAGCAGTTTGTATTGCGTAATACCCTCTCCACAGCAGCTACGCTAAAAGCGTTCCCTACATCGGAGCCAGGGGGTTCGTGCGTTGTGCCAATAAGCCCCCACGTTTAGGTCAGGTCCTGAAGAATCTCAGCACCCTGTGGGGACAGACACCGCTCACCATTTGGGTCTTTTCCTGCAGTCTGCCCTCGACTTCAGAACCCAGAAAATAAATGTCAGCATGTTTCCTGCCACTTAAGCGCATTAGGAACAATTAGCTGGCAATCAATTGGCAGTATTAGAAGTGCCACAGTCAATTAACTACTTAGCTGGCAATAAAATGCCAACGGACACAGAGAACAAGCGCACCACTTAAAACAGTAATGGCTCTAAGTATAAAGCAATGCTCACTAATTTAACAGGGTATGGTCAATACATGTTCATCCGTCAAACATAACCATTTTCATAAAAAATATGGATCTAACGTCATTACATTTTAAAAAAGGCGTCAGTAAATGCAATCAATAGTTTCAATAAAAAAAAACCTATACTTGAGCAAAAAAAGCTTAAAGCGAGCGTTTCCTCAGAAAGCTCGAGCGGAATGAACACAGTTGGCCGTGTGTAATTTGCTGTTCCATTGCAGGGCCCTGGAGTGGGCAAGCGAGAGTCGCGACACTGCCATGGTGGGGTGGAGGTGAGCCAAGGGGGGGCAGCAGTGGGGCTGGAGGAAAGTACTTTGTGCTCTTTGCACACGCGGCCCGTTTCTGGAGGGTGCATCGCTAAGAACAGTCTGGTTGGGCCCTGGAACAGTGTCTCGGATAGGATGAGGACCATTAATAAGATTTTACGTTTTTATATTTGTTTTGTGTTCCTCTTTAATGGTGTAAGTCTTGTTTGCCTCTTACCTGTGATTCTTAAATGTGTTTTTGTTTTAATGTTACGTCAGAAACAGTTGGGCTGCGCTCTCCAGTTGCCTGGGTGAAAATTGGGCTAAGTTTTTCCAAATTCCGGCCCAGCTGCCTCAAAAAACTAACAGTGTGATACATCCTCATAGACCGTATTGTGCATTATCACATCACATTTTGGACTATAATGGTAAAGAGTGTCAAGAGAAAGCTCAGTTAAAAGAACCACCACCATTAGGCATACGCACACGCACAAATAGCAAGCCACTGTTGCGCAGGAATCATCAGCAAGTGTGATATTTGTTGTTTAAAGGATAATACAACTCACATCTCAAACGGTGCTCATGTTGTAGCAACACACCGAGGCTCTGTGTCCAGGGCTAACTTGAATGTGAAGCTTCGTTTATGACACAGAAAAACCTTAACGCCACATCAGCCACGTCATAGAAGCACTCTAATGATATCACTCCCGTAGGTTTTAATACGGCAATGTAGCGATGTCTCAAAGAGCGCATTATGGTGGCTCAGCAGAGGAGCGGCTCAGGGCTGCGAATTCAAATCCCAGTTTGCGCTTTGACTCAGCCCATCATCCCCCCAGGATCGATAAATGTCTATCATTTTGTTGGGAAGGCAACAGTGGCTGTCTACTGGAAAGACTTGCCTCCATCGGAATATGTAATTTCCACCACTGGTTCTGAGATCTGAAGGGAAAAGAGCACTGCCTTAAGGCTCATTTTAGTTGGAAATTACTTTGACCGAATAAAAAACAAATCTTAAATTCTTGTTACTGTTGAGGTATGTATGTGAAACTTCTATCACACCGTACGAAGCCAACCGCTGAGAACGCAACCCAGGTAAGTAACTACGTCATAAACAATATTTTGTTGGAGTCGCACGTTCAGTTGATACTCTGAGTTGTTGGTAGGAAAGCAGTCTAACTTCCATCCTGATGTCTGCAACCCTTGCTGTAAACCATTAATCGTTAACAATGCTCTCTTTGTTCAGCCGCCACTCCCTCATTTATAGATTATTTGCATGCAGGAGCGGACCAAGCTTGACCTGAATGATAAAACCGGCCAAGGACAACTGTATGAAGGATCTTTATTGCCCACGTCAAAGTCTGCCCCGTGGGTGAAGAGACAGCGGCAAACCTGCAGGCAGAGCGGGGAATCCCGAGGTAGATGTGGAGGTTGACGGCTCCCCGCTCGAGGAGGAGGGGGTTGCCGGGGGTTGCTGAGAGGAGGGGGGCCCAGAGGCTGGTCCCACGGGCAGGGCGCCCCCCCCTGGCTGGTGCTGGATAATCTGTATGGACGAGTGACCGTCGGGGACGTGCAGCGATGGGCCGGGACCCTCCACCGGAACACACTCCGGCATGAACTCCTCCTTAACTAGTCGCCCACCCGGTGCTGCAAGAGTGGGGGACGGCAACAAAATATCAACGCCACGGTGGCGAGATGTTAACTCCCTCTCTCGGTATGGGGAGGTCGTGGGTTCGAACCAGACCCCTGAAGCCTGGATATTTGGAGTTTGCGTGTTCTGTCACCCCGTGGTCGTGTGGATATTTCTCCGGGTCCTCCGGTTTATCCCTCCACATTAAGAATCATGCGTTTAAGAGTATTTGGCTGCTGTACATTTCCATGTGATAAGTCACTTCATTGAGCTATCATTTACGGCCGGCTAACTTGTGAAAAAGAGCTATATAGCTCGGTGGGCCTTACCTGGTAAAATACAAAGTTTTGTATAGTTTTAGTAAAAATTACTTCATTTCGTCTGGAAAAAAATATATAAATGGGTATCAAGACTTTTTTCAGCAAAGTGTCGCACTGGGAAATTTGGCGATTACCTATGCAAAAATTCAACAACACAATTAGCTGGTGATCCAATATCCAGATGACCTGATTGTAATTTAGTAGTAATAACAATACATTGAGTGACCGATTAAATTATATTCTTACACTCAAATACATACATTTTGGATGAATACAGATGATGTGCAGAGTATATGTTGTTACATAATGTTGCACTTGGGCTAATAGGGAGGGGGCACAACTTTACCAATGAAACAAAGACAGAAAATCTAAGAAATAACCGGAACAACACAAACACAATATTGCGAATAAAATCGTGACAACAGATCGCAGCGATGTATTGAATGGCACTTGGTGTTGGGGGCGGGTTGTTATCGGTTACACACTTCTTAAACTATTTTATAATTTAACAGACAAGGACAACACTTACGAGATCCATGAAGTGTTAGTTGTCCAAGGTCTGTGAACAGAACATAATCGACAGTAAAACACAAGTCAGAATACAGCACAAGAATATTAAACAATATTGTGCAATAAAATACAACAAAAATGCCCTTTAATGAGAGTTCATTGCATCCAATGAAAATCTATGTATCTACAGTTGCCTGGGTAGGTGTATTTACAGTGTGTAGAGATGGCCTTTATAATTTACTGTCACACCAAATTTTCAAATGTGAGACCAGTCATTTGAAACTGAAGACTTAATGGCCAATCCCTGTGGAATGATGATTTTCACTGGATATTTTTTTCCCATTTTACAGCAGTGTGCTCTAGTTCATTCCTTGTGGAATTCAAGAGGTTACTGAGGGTCTAGAACTTTTTACTCCCCGACATCTAGCTCCGTGGCAAGTAGACTAACAACTATACCATCCAGGTGCTTCAATATGTGGCTACAGTAATCACATATCGTATATTAGAACTCTGCATACTTTCTACTGTAATTATGTAAATCAATACAAAACTAATTTAAACCTTTGACACGCCATACATTAATCGATCACTTTCGCTAAGCGACTCAAGATGCGTGAAAAAACACAGGCAAGCAGGAACGCAGTCACATGATAAAGCGCAAACAATTGCCCAAGCTCTGCGGTACTCTATATATATTAAGATGTTATCGGCCAATTAATGAAGAAATCGCACCACTGGAAGAACACTCACACGTGCGACGAGGAAACACTCTATAATCTAATTATTGTTTCATGTAGTCCATAAAAAAATTAACTTGTTGATAATAACCATTCATACATTTCACAGCATTTAAAATATTTGCTTCGGATTTCATGGGTTATACTAGCCTATTCAATTTTAAACCCATAGGTCTCTGCGAACAGATTCATAGATGAGATATTAAAGGCGTTCTAGTGTATTGTCAGACCATGGACTGAATGGCAGACATGGGAGAGAACGTCGCCGGAGATGAAGCGATGAAATAAGCTCCTGTACAGAAGATATATAAATTTGCAGCTTGCGGAGGCTTTCATCCAGCAATGGATAGACGCCCGATAAACACATTCCTGCGGCGGGAGCTAGTAGGAACGCTGGGTTGCTCGGTCAATGGCCAGGTTCAACGGCGGCACCACGTGGTGTATTCCGCAAATATGCCCGACTGTGAGGGCGGGCACAAGCCGGCGAGAGTAGGTTAAACGTTGAGTTTTATAAGGGCACCACGGGGTGACCAGCCCCTTCCCACCCAGCCCTACCCTCCCCACCCAGCCCCTCCCCAACCTCCCCACCCAGCCCCTCCCCACCCAGCCCCTCCCCACCCTCCCCTCCCCACCCAGCCCCTCTCCACCCAGCCCCACCCCTCCCATTTTATCCGGGTGTCCGGATGCATGTGGACCGATATCCACAGACATACACAATTCATCCCCTGCCTCCTGTGAATTAATCCCGGTTGGGCTTCCAGTCCACTACGTTTCCTACCAGTAATGCCCACTAGGAGCGCATTTGTACTGGTAGGAAACGTAGTCGACTGAAAGCCCAACTGAGATTAATTCACAGGAGGCAGGGGATTAATTGTGTATGTCTGTGGATGTCTGTCCACGTGGGAGGGGTGGGGCTGGGTGGAGAGGGGAGGGTAGGGAGGGGCTGGGTGGGGAGGAGAGGGTGGGGAGGGGCTGGGTGGGGGGTGGGAGGGGTGGGGCTGGGTGGGGAGGGGCTGGTCACCCCGTGGTGCCCTTATAAAACTCAACGTTTAACCTACTCCCGCCGGCTTGTGCCTGCCCTCACAGTCGGGCATATTTGCGGAATACACCACGTGGTGCCGCCGTTGACCCTGGCCATTGACCAAGCAACCCAACGTTCCTACCAGCTCCCTCCGCAGGAATGTGTTTATATATCCGGGTGTCCGGATACACGTAGACAGACATCCACAGACATACACAATCAATCCCCTGCCTCCTGTGATAATCCCGGTTGGGCTTCCAGTCCACTACGTTTCCTACCAGTACAATTAATGTATACCATAAATGCATACATACTGCACACAATTAACATTGTTATAAAGTCGTGGTTAATCCCAAGAGATCACTGCATTGTCTATTAATTTGACGAAAATGTGGCGAAAACTGGATGAAACACCGTGTGTCTGTGAATGTGTGACAAAGGAGAGAGTACCTAAGCCAGTACCTAGGCCGGGAGACACGACCCGCTCGTAGTGGTACGGGTTAACGCAGACGCTGTCGGCCTTCAGGTCAAAGGCGTACTGGCAGAACTTGAGATGCTTCAGCTCATTCTTGTGCAAATCAGGCCACCTCCAGATGCGAGCATAGATCACGTGTGGGAAGCCTTTTCGACCGGCAACCTGAAACCGGAGAGAAAGGGCACGACAATTAAGACCGTAAGTACTGTTAGATACCGTACACGGCTGATGATGAAGAACATGAAATTAAAAAAAGTTTTAATGCTCAAGGACGAAAAACATAAGTGACAAAACACACTGGAAAGTATTTGCCCATGAAGCCTTCATCAAGGCATGCTCAACATTCTGCTCACAACATTATTTCCGGAATGACCATCAATACAGAAAATGCAAAGGTCTCACAATTTACTGGTAACCCTGCACTGCACACTCAATGCACCGAGTGTCAAGGAACAAAGATGCCCTGGTAGGGTAAATGTAAGTGGCATGAAACCGAACGTGCACACGTGTCCATTTGCTACTTGACGCGCACATGATAAACCTCGCAACCAGCTGATAGCTAACTGCCTGAGACGAAACCACCCAGAAATAGCCTGATCTCATCAGGTCTTGAAAGCGAAGGAGATTGTAAATCATCATGCATAAAAAGGCGCCAAAGGCTGTGGCAGAGCTCAGGGGCGGAGCCACAGGGGGGGCTTGGGGGGGGCTTAGCCCCCCCTTGAAATTTTGGAAAAGTCGGTAATCGGGATAACCGGATATCCGGCTGCTGCAAAATGCTGGCTGCCACCTTGTGCTGCCCTGCAGGCTGCTTGAGTAGCAGCCTTTCGAACTTATCAAACTTATTAGCCACACCAGTGGCTCCGACCTATTAATAAACTCCGCGTTCAAATCCAATAATATTTGTTTTATACATTTGTGGCGCCCATTGTAAAACATAAACACTGGATATATCAGAATATTGAAGTCAGCACCTCCAAAGTCAAAATCCTGGCTCCGCCCCTGGCAGAGCTACATTGTCAGCAGAGGGCAGTTGCAGAAAAATGTTTGTACTGTACCATGCTTTTGATTTAAAGCTTTCGTGACTGCAGGGATTCATATTCTTGGTTCTTTCGGTAAAGTCACAAACCACAGCAAGAAAATTTTCTCGCTGTGGTTTTCACACCTGATGATGATTGCTTGTGTTGCAGTCGAAACTTCGTGAGAATTTTATTGATTTATATTTTTATTATTTTATTGTTTCCCTTCTACGTGACTTCACCGAAAGAACCAAGAATATCTGTACCATGCTGTTTATGGATTCTTAAACCATAAGCTATTGGTTAAGAATTAATTATAGATGTTCAACTGACTTAAATATAATTGAGGCTGAATATTTAAGCATTATCTGCCCACTTAAAAATACATCATTTATATGGCCATGAATGAAATCACAAAATTGTGCAAATAGGTGGCATACTTGATCAGTAATAAAATGCTTGCTGAAATAGTTTTGCTGTGGACACTGACACATCGACAGACACCGTGGTGAATACAAAACAAGTGAGAATCACAACGAGCCTTCAAAGCAAAAATGCACGAACCTCTAACACGTAAATACAGTTTACTTGGGTACCGCGAGCAACGGATGTATGATTGAAATAGAGGAATAGTTTTACTTATTAGAAGCGTTTAAAATGGTTCACCATCACGCTGAATGAAATAAAGTGGTAAATTGAAAGCTGGACACAGATTTTGGATGGAAAAGTAAAATAAACGTTGGAAGAGGAAAAAAAACAGAAATATGAATCTACTTAATCATCGTAGATCTTAGGAGATCGAAAAAAACATCACATCAACTGGTCCCCTCAAATAACATTGTCTGCAGACATGAATTATGGATTAAAGTTACTATGTTAAGGTCACCTATCATCAAATGCAAAAATACCCAGAATACTTTACAAACCTCCGCCCCCCTCCAGTTGTTGTGAATAAAAGCTTTAACCCACCAGCCTCAATAAGTCTGGAGCATGCCCCTTCCAATATCTGTGGCAATGAACCTACAAGCCAAATATTGATACTTTTTCGCATAAGGACATTTTGCAGTAAGTTTTAACATTTCCTGAAGGTGGTGTTGTCATTTTCCTCTCCAGACTGTGAAATCTCCAATTTGCATCAACAAAAAAATCAAATGTCAAGCTGCAGGTGTTGAAGCAGGGGACAGAAGCTGGAGCATTAATCTCCCGGGGCTTCTCCCCACCGTGTATAAGCAGGATTATTTTATATGAACAGCTGCTACACAGAAAACCCTGCAGAAATGACACGTGTGAATGCATGGCAGCAACTGCACTCTTCATACTCGTGGGCGCAGGATCAACAACTTGTATCACTGCACTCATGATGCTTTGGCATCGTTTTGGAAAGCTTCTGATTTCTATTTTATTTTCAAATTGGAAAAATTAACACTTAAATCTGACCCAAGAGTGAACCTCTGCTGGCTGAAAACAAGATTAATTTCACAAAAGCTATAGGCTGGTAAATGATAGAATCATAAAAATAGGATTCTATATTTACTGCAAGACTGTTATAAATGGTTTCAGATGCAGCAACATGATTACCACCGTAAGTCATATTCACAAGCAGGATCAGATATTTCTCATGATATATGTTTATAACCCATAAGCCTCCGAAGGTTATAAACATGTGGCTTTTTGTTTCCGATGCAGCTTCTTTAGAATATAACCGATGCATCACTATCAATGTGATTACTTATTTCATTATAACACTCATTTTTGGCCCAGCAGCAAAAACAAGTCGGATTTGATCATTAATTCACTTAAACCACACAGTCCCACATCATTTCTTTACAGCACTTGACTTTATATTCAATTAACAAGCCACAAAGAAATATTCGTTGAAAAACAACAGCCAATATGTACGGCCTCCGTGGCAACGTGGCGCGGAGATGGTCCCACGACCCACCTGCAGCCGGCCATCAAGCGTCCGCTGAATGGTGACGCACTTGCTGGGGTGAGCGCCATTTGTGGTGATGGCCGTGATGAGAGAGTCCAACTCGTCCTTCTTTTCCTTCAGCTTCTTGACGAGGCTTTCGATGGCCCTCTTCGAGAAGGACTCACTCTCCCCGCCTTGCCGGTGGCACATGAGGCTGTGCACAATGCTGAGGCAAGCATCGTTGCTCGTTGGTGTTCCCAGCGACATTTTAGGAGCTCTTTTTCAGACTAATAATCTTCCGTTAAACGTCTGCAGTACCGGAGAGATGTAAAAACTGAATGTATACTTCTTATCTCGTATATTCCAGGGTGCTTTACAACACTTACTAAATTGTACATAAGATGATAGTGGTTGAAGATTGGGGTTATTAAAAGTGGTGGTGTGGTTATGTTGACAGAAGAGGCGGGGAGTAGTTAAGGAGGGGTTTGGGTAGTGATAGGGGTCAGGGTAGGGGTAGTGGTAGGGGTAGGCCTGGTCGTAGCTTGGGGGCGGGGGCAGGGAGTAGCAGTAGGATCGGCTAGGGAGAAGAAATGGGTTTTAAGGAAGGTACGGAAGCAGGTTAGTGAAGGTTACATTTAAAAGTGTATATCATAAAAAATATTTAAAAAAATCTTCAAACACAAATTCTAGTCTGCCGATGGCTACAGACCGTCGGAGACAATATCAGGCTTTGGCGTCTCTATCGGCTAGAATGAAATTCTAACATGATTATTAGAAAAGTATTGCGTTGCAGTATGATGGCTCTAACCCCATGACCTTCCGACGAGTGTTCAGGAGGAAGGCGTCACAGAGAAACCCAATCTCTCCATCCACTCCGTCTTCTCAGAGGAGTCACCATTTACATTTGGCCTAATGATATCGAAATGACCCCATGTCCCACCACCGCTGCATAAATATCAGACTCTTTCACAATCTTTATTTGTCTTTGAGGAATCCGATGCTATGAAGCTTTTTTCACAGTTCCTCTGGCGAGCTCTCTTTTCCACGCGTCACAAATATTTTGCAGAATGAAGGCGTCTCTGAAAAAAACAACAACGGTAAGACATGAAATATTAGAACTGACAAATTCTGACAGATGTATAGTTTGCTACAATGTTGTCAGTAGAACAATAGTAAAACTTTCCAGCAGCATACGAACAAATGCTTAACATCCATATCATGAACAACGTGCAGTCATTTCATGTCCAGTGTAGAGCCATTTACAGAGACCAGCAGTTTCTGACAGTTGCCAGGAAACTCCTGCAAGAAACTACCAGACCTGTAAGTTGAACTCAATGAACTCATAATACCAGCAACTGCATGAGCCTACTACTGTTGAGTTCCAGCATTGTGGTCCAAACATCACATAAAACACATTACCAGGAAATACAATTGTAAACAAAAATTATGCTATTTATAGAAAGTGTGCGCTCACTCAAATTCAGGAGTTCGCTATGTGCATTTTGGTTTTCTCCATCAAGCAAAACAATTAAGAATGTGATCCATCAATCTCAATGCAGGAGCCTGCTCCAGGGATTGAGTGTCAGTGTCATTTCCGTGGGTGAGGGAATCACCCACGAGCGAGCCATAACCAGAACTCATCTATGCTGCCTCCCCCCCACCCCCGGCGAGCCATTGATGGAAATTCCACATTCCTTTGGCGGGTATTTGTCTCCAGTACACGACGAGTTCGGTTCCCAGACGCAGCGATTGCTACCGTGGGGTGGATTTTCCACCACTGGCTCATGACCACCAATAATATATGAGCAATACTGCTCACGTCGTCAAGTGTGATGGTACGAGGTCACTCACGCGTCTATCTCGCCCCAGGCAAGCCTCACCCCGAAACTCCCTTCACGTGGTCTCATGGGTAAAACCAGTCCCAGATTAAGCTCGTTCGGGGGCCTGTAGCATATGTTATAGAGGGGCTCTAAATAAATAAATATTACAAACACACGTTTTTTTTTTACTTGCATAGTCAATTGTATTTTTTCATTTGCTCTACAGCCAGATAATACGACAAATCGATAACATTAAACACCCAGTCGTTCATAAAAGGCGGTATAGTACTAGAGTAACAGAGCAAGTGCAGAATAACTGAGCCGGAATTGACAGCGCGGGGCCCTTGAAAGTGCGGGGCCCGTAGCGATGGTACTGCCAGACGACATCGCCCAGAGCGGAACTCGTGGCCTCGTGACCTGCGGGTCGAGGCCACGAGGATCAATTGATTAAAGGGAGTTCCCCCGCACGAGACGATCTTCGGCTAAGAAGGGCTTTACTGAAATCCCTCAACATCTGCACTCGCAGGAACCATTCTCTTCAGGAGCCCCGGGGTAGATGTCACACATCCCCTTGTATCTACCCCGTGTCCCTCGGATCTTCGTGGACGGGGGCTCCTCTATCTAACACCCTCCTCCACCCTCCTTCTGCCTCGCAAAAATCTCGCCTCCTCCAGTCCACTGACAATCTCCCCCCCCCCCCACTCCGCCTTCCTTGCCGGCTGCGTTCCCGTCGCCCCCCCCCCCCCCCCCCAATTTATATAAATCGGGCTGCTGCCGCTGTCCGAGCCTAGCCAAAGAGTTCGGTGTGTCCTCCCCAAAACAAACTTCACAGCCGGGATCTTACGGCGATAACACGCGGGCAGATTACAGCCACCCGGGATGCGTTTGATGCAGCTCCTGTGGCCACCACAGCTCCCGGAGACAGCCACATTCTCACCACCACGCCGCCGCTGTGAGCCGTCACCCAACGCGTCCATCACACCCAACAACAACCGCCCCCATTCGCCACGAAGTAGCGGTGACGTCACAAAGGCGCTTGTGCCAGGCTAGGTGCACTTCGAGGCCCCCCCCGGTGAAGGCGGGTCCCGTGACCTCTAAGAGGACTGTCCGATGGACCACCGGCTTTGCCCGACTGCGCAAACTTGTTCCGTTTTAAATCCGCTCGTTGTTGTGAGCGTCGCTCCTCCGCCCTGTCGCCGTTGCTTGAGGTCGGTCGCCTCCGGCGGCCCAGCAGCGCCCTCCACGCACGACACATCGCGACACCGCCATCGGCACCACTCACGATCCTCCCGCGCTACGCGCCACACGGCGGCACCACGCTCCAGCAACTCGGCGGCTCGAACTCGGTCAATCTCGCGTCCCACCATTGGCGAAGGACAGACTAAAGCCACTTTTAAACCCACAGAATCGCCACGAACATCACAACAACAGCAGCAGCACGCGCGCATCTCCACCATCATCATCGCTCACCTCCAACCACCACCACCACAACAACCTCGTGCTGCTCATCACACGGGCGCGAGGCCGTGCCTGCCCGCAGCAGAAGACCACGCGCGGTAGAGCGCCGAGTGGACGGTGCGAGTTGTTGTTGTTGTTTGTTGTAGCCGGTCGGAGTTTTGTTGTTGTGGTTGTTGTTGTGGCGCTCATCAGCTCCTCTCGGCCCCCCACCCACCCACCCCGCGTCTTGGCCACCCTCTACAATCCCTAGCGCGCACAGGGCCGCTCGGCTCGCGCGATTGGCTGGCGCTGCGTCGCGTGACGAGGCCGCGAGCCAATCGCTGCGCGCGCGCTCCTCCACGCCGCGAGCAGCGCCGATCCGCGGTGGGAAATATAAAGCGATTCACGTTCAGGGGCCGCAGGCGGGGGGGGTCCCGGAACGTGAATGTTGGGGCCACGGAATCTGAACAGAGCCCCCCCCACCCCACCGGAACGTGAATTACCGGATCCCGGAGGGGCGGGGGAGTGGGTATGAGGAGGGGCGGGGGAGTGGGTATGAGGAGGGGCTCCAGGGAGATGCGGGGTGCTGCATGGTGGTGGTGGCTTGGTCGAGACTGTGCCAGTGGCAATGGGAGGGAGGTGCGGCAAGGCGTGCGGGCCTCACCGGGTCGTCAGCACAATTCTTTGTTTATCGTGGAGGAATCCGATGAGCTATAAAGCTCTTTTTTTCACAGATGTCCAATTCATGTTGCTCATTAAAAAACGCAACAGCAAAAAAAAAGAGACGCTAAGGCGTATTTATTTTGCAACTTGGATTTATTTTCAGCAGGAATTACGACATTGTAGTTAAAATGACGTAAAATGCACTTTATTAACAACATTACCAGAGCAGATGTTGTTGGCACCACATAAGATAGCAAAACAACAGTGGTTCTCATTTTTTTTCCGACCAATGAAAGTGAATCATTTGACACAATCCACCAATTCCAAGTGATTATCACACACACACACAGACGTCACTGTTGTGGGCAACACGTTAAGACACATGAAGCCACGAAAGTGATGCCACCTAAGGCGGTGTGACCCACACAAAGCGAGACAACTGCTGCTCTGGGCTCGTGGGCCTAAAGCTGAGGTCGTAGAGCCGGGACTACGAGACTAGCAGGGGGGGCAACGGCCGCACGAGGTGGAATCTTGCGCCGGTGCTCGTTCGTCCAGAAGGTGCTCCGGTCAAACCCGATGTGGGGGGGGGATGGTTGAGAGGCTAGAGCCAAATGTCGGAGCTGCAGTCCCCGCCCGGATAGCGCACCTCGTGGGCGAGCACGGGACCGTCCGGCTCCGTGCCGTAATCCACCAGGAAGCGCTTGTTCACGGAGAGGCCGCCCTTGTGGGTGTCCACGTCGATCTGCAGCATCACCGAGCCCTCCCTGCGCGGCGCACCACAAACACAAAGATCCCCTCCCGTGTAGCCTTGGCAGGGACCGCTGGGGCAAGCGCTGTTGGGCGAGCGGCCACGGAGGCCGAAACGGCGCACGAAGGGGGTGGGTGGGCAGCATCGGCACGCCGGGGTCACCCTGGTCTCCCGAGCGGCGGTGTTTACACACCGCGCCAAGTGCTCAACAGAGGCCGAGTCGACCCAGAGGAGGCGCAGGACTGGTCCAGATAACTGTCACTGGTGTTTGCCGTGTGCGGGAATGGAACTCGGATCGCCGGGTCACACACACACACACGTACATTTCGAAATAATGCCTGGACAATGCCGTCCTGCGCCATACTCCCGTGCATAAGCCGGTTGATCAATCGGTATATATTACGAGACAAATTTGGTTTTACAATAAATTCTCAAGTAGACTGTAATAGTTATCTGCCGGCTTGTGACTAGTAAACAGTTAGGCGTGACGTAGATCAATATTTTGTTGCACTTGCTGGAAGATAATCTCAGGTAAGTGCACCGTTATATGCGTCATTACTTCTGAATGGAATGCATCTGAGAGGATGTTCCACTGAGGAGATGGAGCGACAAAGTCAGCTGGTGTGCAGGTTCCGGGTCGATTATCACATCGCAGGATAGCGAAAGGTGAAGAAGGCTTGGGAAGGCCTTCATCCAGCAGTGGATTGATCATGGCTGACAATGATGATGGTGATGATGGTGACAACTTCTACGTACTTGATCATTTCAGGGTAGAACTGCTTGTCCCAGCCGCTGTAGAGGGAGGTGGTGACATAAAGCCGCTTCCCATCCAGGCTGAGCTGGATCATCTGGGGCCCGCCAGGCACCCGCTTGCCCTGCGCACGGCAACCAGGTGTGAGCTCGCACTAAGTAGATCCTGCACCTCTGATTTGCACAGTTGGCTACGTATGGTGCGAAAGAAGTTTAACATACATACATACATCCGCTCGATTCACAGGACTAAGCCTCAAATCGTCATCATCACAGCCAAGGATCTGAGCTGCGATTTAACCTACGGGATATGCAATGTCGCCGATTCAAATGGCATTGTGTTGTCTGTACAGAGTGCTCGATAGAAGTGTTTAATTTACGGTGCTTGGTTGGTGAGAAGGAATGAAGAAATAAGGGAACAAGGGTCACTGATGATGATGCTGCTGCTGTTAAAGTGAAATAAATTACTGGAGAAACGTCGTACTCAAATTGTGAATGTTGTGGATTTACTCTCCAACACACCGGTGTGCTGTACTAGTAACGAATTGGCACGTTCTGTTTACGTGGCAAACATTACTAGTTGGCAGTGTCGGGTGGTGGTGGGTTTAACGACACATTTATATTTACGCGATCTAACCCCAAAAAGCATGTATTATGGATATTGATCGCAAAAGCCTGTGTTAAACTGAAAAAAATGACGTTTAATTGGGCAGGAGAGGTCACGAGCACGACTGACGAGAGAGACGAAACTAACTGCCGAGTGGAGGCCAAGAGATGACATCACAAAGGGTTCAGAGGCTTTGACTGGAGAGAGGGGAGCTGGGGAAATGGAGGAATGTAAGGAAATACTGTGGGAAGTGACCGGCTGACAACAAAAGGGAGCTTGGCCCTGGTGTGACGACCAAACAATGTATGCACAAATAACTGAAGCTAATTGAAGGAGGGCCTGCCAGCTCTCTTTGCTTCCCGGTCGTATTTCACACTCACGGCGTGACGAGGTGTCAGTCAGCTGTCCGAGGCAGTGTGGTTTTTTCCGCAACATGCCGTCAGCCCAAAACTGGTCGTGACATTCACTTGAAATGTGTGGGACGATCATTTTGATGTAGCATATAAAAAACCCCCACAAATTTGGGCTTTAAGGAAAGGAAGATAATGGCTTAAATTAGCCCTTTTGGATGCATTTGTATTGAAATGAATTATACTTCTTTCTGGTAAATGTAGCCAGCAGCATTGATTCCTCACCTGCACCACCAGAGGTTTAGGCCGCTCCTTCAGCTCCTTGTCCTCGATCACTCGCACAGGGCCACCCTTCAGAATGCTGCCTCCAATAAACACCTGTACGCACGCATCCCCACTCACACTACTCAGCTGGTGCTGTTAACAAAGACATAGATCCCCCGTATAACCTTAATAGGCTGTTGGGGCAAGTTCTGTTAGCGAGCATCTATGAAGGCCAGCACCACGGGGCACATGAGGGAGTGGTGGCCAGCACCACGAGGGGGTGGGTTGTCAGCAGCAGGGCACATGAGGGAGTGGGTGGTCAGCACCACGCCCTTGTTAACAAGCAGGTGATGGTGAATTATGAGGTCAGCACCATGTCCGGGGGGGGGGGGTTATCCACGGGTGACCCGTAAAGTGGGTCGCAGTCGTAGGTCTGGCCCTCCCACTTTGTGGGTCACCCGTGGGACACCCATGGGGTAACCCAGTGGTTACTCGGCCCTGGTGGCGAGGATGCGAATGCGGGCGCGCGGTGTGCTTGTTGAGCGGCACCTGTCCCACGAGCTTGGGGTGCCGCGGGTCCGTGACGTCGTACTGGCGGATGTCCCCATGCAGCCAGTTGCTGAAGTAGAGGAAGCGGTCGTCCAGCGAGAGGAGAATGTCCGTGATGAGTCCTAGAATCAGCGCAGTGCGTTCGGAGGGCTCGTTCCAAACATCATGCTTTCATCGGGCAGCACGGTGACGACACTCATGCCTCGCAGCAAAAAGTACCTGGGTTTTTATTCCCAACTCGGGATCCTGTTAGTGCGGGGTTTGTATGCAACCCCCCCCCCCTGTTGTGTAACTGGTGTTGGCCAAACGTCTCAATGCTGAAAATTACTTGCAAATGACTCAATTGGGGATTTCACAAAAATCACTTTTTGAGTGTCTCCCAGAGCAATGTCACGGACGACAAACCTTGTGTGTCAACGTACCCGGCATCTCTGGCAACATCCAGCCCTCCACCTTCTTACTTGGCACATCGATGACTTTCTCTGCAGCCCAGTCCCCCTTCTGTGTATGACACGCATGCATATGCACGCACACACGCGCACGCACAATGCGTGTTTGGGCGAGAATCTCTGGGCGGCAGCTGGCAGCTGTACCTCGCCTGCTGCGACAGTGGAAGCGTGACGCTGCGGTGCTGCAGAGAAAGTCATCGATTGGCACATCGATGACTTTCTCTGCAGCCCAGTCCCCCTTCTGTGTATGACACGCATGCATATGCACGCACACACGCGCACGCACAATGCGTGTTTGGGCGAGAATCTCTGGGCGGCAGCTGGCAGCTGTACCTCGCCTGCTGCGACAGTGGAAGCGTGACGCTGCGGTGCTCTCGCTCAGTTCGACCGCGACCCTGCGCACGAGCCGAGCTTCCGCACACGGCGAGCAACACGACAAGTAACTCATTTTTACTGCCGATACGAAGAAACCGCCTGGAGCGCACTCAATCCCGTTCGCCGCTTGTTGCGGAAGATAAATAAGTTGCACGGTGGACCTGAAAGAGCCCGTGGACGTCATTCGCAAGAGTAGGTCTTTTTTCGTTTAAAAAAAAAATAACTAACGAATAACCCAATTGGGATCGCCCACGGCAGCAACATCGCCCCCTCCTGCAAAAACTTGGCCGGACGCTCCTGTAGAAGGTTACTGAACCAAACCGTGTCCACCAATCATAACAACCCGCTGAACTCTGGGTGAAGGGAGCAGAGCAGGTGTGTGTGCAGAATGCAGTGTGCATGAGCATCGCACCTCTATTTAGCACGGCTGGTCACATACGGTGCATAAGAAGTTCAATAAACAAACAATAAATAAGTTCAACACATTCATTGGCACTGCACGCCCTCTCCTCCTGCCACTCTACGCAGGGGACTGCAGGTGGCGCTAGTCCGATGACTGAATGAGTTACAATACTTTTTTGATTCGTAAAAAAATATGCATGAGACTGCAACTCAAGAGGTTGTACAGACATAAGGCCATGTTTATTTATAGAGAGAAAGAGAGAGACAGTCAGTGATAGGCAGAAGGAAACAAGGGAGGTCTCGAGTCTGGACTTGAACAGGGGCAGGACAGTACAGACGGCTTGGGGATGGGAGTTCCAGACCTTGAGGTCAAGAGAGGAGAATGAGCGACATCCCGCCAAATAACATTTATGCAGGGCTGAGATAATAATAATAAAATAATTGTTCGCTAGAGTGGCGAGTGAGTGGAGGGGAACTGAGCGAGGTGAGAGGCAAGTTTACAGCGATCTCCAAATTGGTCTGGGATGGTATTTTTGTTTTTTGTGTGTAACTTTCTGGCCCGTCCTTACTGGACATCTGTGGGAAAAGGGCATCATAAGCTCATCGGATTCCTCCAGGATAAATGAAGAATCCAATTCTGGGAGCCAGCGGAAGAATTCAGAGGATGTGGTCTCTTCTCGTTCACGGGTGCGTCTTGCGCAGCGTGGCGGCGCAAACCTCGGTCTTGTAGAAGCGGAAGACGTTGCTGGAGAGGGCACAGCCCACAAAGCCCTGGGGGGCGCTGGGGTCGTGCAGGAAGCGGACCTCCAGCGGGATGTCGCCGTCAGGGCCGAGGTCCAGGCTCTGCGTGCACACGCGGCGCTCCCAGTCCCACACGTGGATGCTGTGCCCGTAGTGGCCTGCGGCGAGAGGTCAGAGGTTACGAGGCGGGGCCGGAAGGGGGGGGGGTGCCACATCGCCGGCATGACATTGACGGCCAACGATTTCGTTATCGCCATCGTCGTCGTCACCGAATATTCACACACAAACGTGCCCCATCTCGCCAAGATTTCGGAAAGCCAAGCAGGTTAGAGCTTGGACAGCGCTTGGATGGGCGAGCATCACCGGCTACAGCAACCAGGCGTAGCAGAGAGCAACAGAAGGCCGCGCAGCAAAACCGACCGTTGTTCTGTGCTCGCCACCCGCTCCACCGCACCACCTTCATCACCGCGCACCGACCAGCACGGTTAAATGCGATCAAATATCTCCCCCGCGTGCCGCAAGGCCGTGGGCAGGCCTTCGTCCAGCAGCGGATTGGCAAAACGCGGAGTGTGCGTGCACGGGCGCATGATGTGGCGGGGGGGAGAGGCGTGCGAGGCTCACCGGCCTGGTGGTCCTCCAGGCGGAATCCGGATGCCAGCACCTTGGGCGTGCCCCACTCGGTGCTCACCATGACGTTGTGCCGAGGCTGGTACCAGAAGTCGTAGCCGAAGGGGACGCTCTCTCCCTCCGCCTGCCACTGCCCTTTCACCTCGAAGCTTTCGCCGTCCAGAAGGATGAATCCCCCTACGATCGCGCGCGGGGGCAGCGTCGTCAGCGGAAGCTCGTGGCTCCAGGCTCTCCTCTCACCTGGTCAAGACTCTCACCTGGCCCAGGCCCTCATCTGGCCAAGGCCCTCATCTGGCCCAGGCCCTCACCTGGCCCAGGCCCTCACCTGTTCCAGGCTCTCACCTGTTCAGGTTGGCGCACGATGGACTTTGAGCTCTGGCTCTGCGCCTCCGGCTTTGTGAAATACGCGCGCGTTACACGTCGTGTTTATAATCACTTCGTAACCATACGACAGTTAACCCAAAATGCGTGTTTTCGCAGCCAATAATTTTCGCCATACGTCAGTGTGGCGTGACGGTGTCACTTGCTAATCCGACCTTGTCACGTTTAGCATCGCGTTCTTAACCTCACGTAACGTCCGCTCCCAGAGCACTTCCCCGCCGCCGGCCGGTATTTAATGAGCGGTTCGCGCTTCTCCCCGAATCCGATACAATTAGCCCAAAGGTCTCGATCCGGCGTTTGCAACGTTTCGATGCGGAACTCATTTTTAGCACAACGACGCTGTGCCACGCCACCGTGGCCAACGCAACGGACTTGCGATCCAGAGGTCGCCAGTTCTATCCCCTGTTCAGCAGCAGGGGGAAAGTTATCTTAAACCCCGTACCCCCTGCCACCCCCTCCCCCATCTGAAAATATGGGAAGAAGACCGCTCTGGAGTGGCTCTCTCGAGCTTCCTCTGCCGGACATTCCTTCCGACAGCGGTGGTGCAAGCGAGTGATCGTTGGGCCGGACCTTTGCCTTCCCCTCTACGGCTGAAGGGAGGCAAAAAAAAACCCTGAAACTAAAACCAACCCGGAGTTTGCGAGCACGGCACGAGGGGGCGAGCGTGAACGCGAGCCGGGGGGGGGGGGGGGGGAGCGCGCAGGGAGGATGGTCGCTGACCCTTGCCATTCCCGGCGGGGTCACCCATGGTGCTGATCATGACCTCGCCGCTCGCCAGGCAGTGCGACGTATGTGGGTGGGCCTGTCCCGTGCGCCAAAACATGTCGACGGGCTCCACCACCTGCACCGGGTGGCATTGTCACAGCGCAGCACACAGCAGCAGCACCCAGCAGCAGCACCCAGCAGCAGCACCCAGCAGCAGCACCCAGCAGCAGCACCCAGCAGCAGAACGCAGCAGCAGAACGCAACAGCAGCAGCACCCAGCAGCAGCACCCAGCAGGAGCAGCAGCACCCAGCAGGAGCAGCAGCACCCAGCAGGAGCAGCAGCACCCAGCAGCAGCAGCACCCAGCAGCAGCAGCACCCAGCAGCAGCAGCACCCAGCAGCAGCAGCAACACGCAGCAGCAGCAACACGCAGCAGCAGCATCACGCAGCAGTGGCAGCAGCACGAACATTGTTTGAAGCACCATCGATCGATGGATTGTCATCCTAAGGACAGTGTGGCAAACACAGCTCAAGTTTGATCAGACCGAGGTCGTACGGTCAGTTGTCCCTCGCCAGTGATGTTAGTCGTGGCCGGGAATCGAACTCGGCATCACAAGGTCACAGCGTGGGTTCGTTTAGCGCTACAACGCTCCTCCACGTTCACATTCGGGGGGAATTTATTCACCTTAACTACACGTCAATGTAGTTCACTGCAACGTGTGCTTTCAGATCCGCTTCTGCGGCCGTCTGGAACGCTCTTCCTTCCGATATTAGGAAGCCACTGGAGCTGCGCACTTTTAAATCTTGATTGGAAACTCATTTATTTAACACCGATTCTTGTGTTTAGTTTGTTGTCCTTCAACATACATACAATGGCCGTGCCAGCCAAGCGCAACGCATCGCGAGACAAACCTGACACGCATCGCTGGCGACAGCGCCGTCCAATCGAATAGGGCAACAAGCAGCTTCACCACAGATTTGATTCCGCCTTGGAATGCCCTGGCCGTGCGAATATTCTCATTCACAGTTGCTCGAAAAATTCACACGGAGCCCAACAAACTGAGCCCCCGCGTTCCAGTTCCTCCTAACCCACTCCCCCTTGCAGTTGTCATTTATCAGAATAAACTTTTATAGAGGACTCGTACGAGGCTTAATGTGAGGCGACATCTTTAGGCGCCAGTCACACAACTAAGCTGCTGCCGCGGTCTAACGGTCGGCACGCTGGCTTTAATAATCCCCAGGTTCCTGGCTCGATCTCCCGGCGCGGCAGTTGAAAACAACGAGGCGAGTTTTTTTTTTATCCCAACCCCCACCGCATCTGCCCACCCAGCAGCATACATGGGCACAACCAGGCAGCCGATTCGCAAGGTCACATGTGGTGGGGTAAAGTGTGGGTACTCCCATCTAAACTAAACTAAACTGGAAACGAATGATACAGCTCTTTGTCAGAGGTGACCTGACCACAAATGATAGCTCAGCGAGGTGGCTTATCACGTGCAAATGTATTACGGCCAAACACTCTACACACACGACGATTCTAAATGTGGAGGGGAAGAACCGGACTACCCAGAGAAAAATCTATGCAACCACAGGGAGATAACATGCAAACGCCAAATATACATGGGTGAGGGTCGGGATCGAACCCACGATCTCCTGCATACCAGGCGAGGTAGTTAACATTTCGCCACCGTGGCGCCCAGATGTCTGGCCACTGTTATTTCCCCCGGTCTGGCCAGATGTCTAGCCAGACACGGCAGAGTAGGCCAAACACCCTCTCTAGCAGCTCCCTGGAGCTGCCTGGAGCTGAGGGCCCCTTCTCCCAGCGGCGGCGAGACACTGCAGGGGGCCGCCGAGCCGAGAAGCGTGTGACGGGCCGGACCTTGTGCATGCGGGGCGCGCGCGGCTCGGAGCCCGTGTCGACGACGTAGATGCGCGAGGAGATGAGGCTGGGCAGGATGAGCTTGTCTCGCCGCTTGCTCGAGTCCCCGTAGCAGCTGCTGCACGCGTTCCAGCCGCTGTGGTGCAGCTCGTCCTTGACGCACGGCATGGGCAGGCGGTGGATCACCTGCGGGAGGAGCGTCCACAGCACCGAGGCTCAGGCCTTGCGCCCCGGGGGGGGGCGGTGGGGGAGGGACGAGGAGCTACGTGTACATCCATAATAAAGGTCGCGAAGGCCTACGTGTTAAGCTACGTGCACGGTGGCGCTTGCGTCGATGCCCCCGGGCAACTCGAAGCGCCTTGCATCTCTCGTCCCATCTCAACCGTGGAGATGCCCTGCTGCGGTCGGGCCTAGGGGACCAACGGTGGCAGCTGTCCCTGTGTGGCACAACGTGTAGGAGGCAGCGTCGGCCTGCAAATGAGCATTACTCTGCCAGTAGGGTACGGTGTTGCCACATGCGTGTTTGTTTTTCCCCCCCAATATAGTGATTTGTGAATTATTGATCACATTTGGACACGTTTTTAAAGAATGGGGGCAGAGGTTAGAAAGCAATAGTCTATTCACCTCATAAAAAAAATGTTTAGCTCCATTAACCAATGAGCCTTGTCAACACAATTTGTTTTAGAAAATTTCGGACCGGTTTTTACTTTTCTGGGTCTCATCAGCAGTGTCAAGTATTGTACCGAATTTGCTCGAAAATGATCAGTTGTTATTTCCTCGGTCCCGTTAACCCGTAAAGGGCAAATTTATCTGCGAGCGCATGATTGCCTCTGTTCACAAACGAGAAACATTTTAACTCATTGCCACAATGCAGTGAAATGAAGCTGTCGATGTAAAAGCTAAGAGTTGTGTTTTTGTAATTAAACTACTTTTATTTTACAGGCAAGTCCCACTGAGCTATACAGCTCTTTTTCAGACGCGACCAGGCCACAAATGATATCTCAACAAAGTGGCTTAACACGTGGAAATGCATAGCAGCCAAATACTCTAAATACGTGATGTTGATTCTAAATGTGGAGGGGAAAACCCCGGAAAAAAATCCATGCGACCACGAGGAGAACATGCAAACTCCAAATATACAATCGTCAGGGTCGGGATCGAACCCACGACCTCCTGTATACCAGGCGAGGCAATTAACATCTCGCCACCGTGGCGCCCCACAGCGGCGCCACTTCACGGAAAAACAAAACGAGCCACGTCTCTGTCGTAAAGAGATACGCAGAGGAAAATATAAATGTCATTGTAAAATATGATGTCCTTCCGTACAATCGCACTCGCACATAATGCCACAGGAAGCTCATGTCAAAGCTGCAGCTTATTTTCATGAGAAGATATTTTTAACACCGGAAAATTCCCACAAAGTATTTGACACTTTTTTTTTACAAATACTGTATGACATGCTTACGCACTCTGCTTGTTGCTCGCTGTACGTTACACACACACACCCTGTGCTCCAGGTTCCGCTATCAAACTCGAGTATTCACTGAAAGGGAACCATTCAAACTCTGACTTCCACCGCCTTTTCCAGACCCATTCCAGAAATATTTTATATTTGGATTCCCTCGTTCATGCCACTGCATTTGGCTTCCAGTAATACATAACTGGCGTGTGAGATATCCGATTCCCTTGAGACATTAGTGGAAGGAGCCTTACGAATAATTGTAAATTCTTATTATTAATCTGCAAGTCGCCATTCGGTAGTGGACTGACAAAGTGCTGTTCTAAAAACAGAATTAAAAACATGGAGGGTAGCAAGGTCTTGCCGTAAAGCTTTTGTGACTGCAGGAATCCATACTCTCTGGTTCTTTCGGTAAAGTCACGTAGATAGAAATAAAATAATAAAATAAACACACGACGTTTCAGTCACAACACAAGCGTCTGTCTTCACGCTTGTCTTGCGACCGAAACGTCGTGTTTTCTTTCATTATTTTTTTCTATCTACATGACTTTACCAAAAGAACCAGAGAGCATGGAGGGTAACAATTGAAAAAAATATTTTTAAAAGGTTTAGAATCACGAGGCAAACACACGTTGGATGGCGTACAGCTAAGAGCATTCGCACAGAAAACATGTGATCAGGGACAAAACATCAATAATAGAGGTTTCCGGGTTAGATCGTGTAAATATAAATGTTGTGTCGTTAAACCCGCCGCCAACACCCGACACGTGAACAAAACGTGCCAATTCGTTACGAGCTGAGCACACCGGAGTGTTGGAGAGTAAACCCACAACAGCATTTACAATTCGAGTACCGTGAGATTTCGCCAGTAATTTAGAACCAGCATCATCAGGCGGACAACAAATACAGTGAGGGAAAAAAGTATTTGATCCCCTGCTGATTTTGTACGTTTGCCCACTGACAAAGAAATGATCAGTCTATAATTTTAATGGTAGGTTTATTTGAACAGTGAGAGACAGAATAACAACAAAAAATACGGAAAAATGCACGTCAAAAATGTTATGAATTGATTGGCATTTTAATAAGGGAAATAAGTATTTGACCCCTCTGCAAAACATGACTGAGTACTTGGTGGCAAAACCCTTGTTGGCAATCACAGAGGTCAGACGTTTCTTGTAGTTGGCCACCAGCTTTGCACACATCTCAGGAGGGATTTTGTCCCTCTCCTCTTTGCAGATCTTCTCCAAGTCATTAAGGTTTCGAGGCTGACGTTTGGCAACTCGAACCTTCAGCTCCCTCCACAGATTTTCTATGGGATTAAGGTCTGGAGACTGGCTAGGCCACTCCAGGACCTTAATGTGCTTCTTCTTGAGCCACTCCTTTGTTGCCTTGGCCGTGTGTTTTAGGTCATTGTCATGCTGGAATACCCATCCACGACCCATTTTCAATGCCCTGGCTGAGGGAAGGAGGTTCTCACCCAAGATTTGATGGTACATGGCCCCGTCCATCGTCCCTTTGATGCGGTGAAGTTGTCCTGTCCCCTTAGCAGAAAAACACGCCCAAAGCATAATGTTTCCACCTCCATGTTTGACGGTGGGGATGGTGTTCTTGGGGTCATAGGCAGCATTCCTCCTCCTCCAAACACGGCGAGTTCAGTTGATGCCAAAGAGCTCCAATTTAGTCTCATCTGACCACAACACTTTCACCCAGTTGTCCTCTGAATCATTCAGATGTTCATTGGCAAACTTCAGACGGGCATGTATATGTGCTTTCTTGAGCAGGGGGACCTTGCGGGTGCTGCAGGATTTCAGTCCTTCACGGCGTAGTGTGTTACCAATTGTTTTCCTGGTGACTATGGTCCCAGCTGCCTTGAGATCATTGACAAGATCCTCCCGTGTAGTTCTGGGCCGATTCCTCACCGTTCTCATGATCATTGCAACTCCACGAGGTGAGATCTTGCATGGGGACCCAGGCCGAGGGAGATTGACAGTTCTTTTGTGTTTCTTCCATTTGCGAATAATCGCACCAACTGTTGTCACCTTCTCACCAAGCTGCTTGCCAATGGTCTTGTAGCCCATTCCAGCCTTGTGTAGGTCTGCGATCTTGTCCCTGACATCCTTGGAGAGCTCTTTGGTCTTGGCCATGGTGGAGAGTTTGGAATCTGATCGATTGATTGCTTCTGTGGACAGGTGTCTTTTATACAGGTAACAAGCTGAGATTAGGAGCACTCCCTTTAAGAGTGTGCTCCTAATCTCAGCTCGTTACCTGTATAAAAGACACCTGGGAGCTAGAAATCTGATTGAGAGGGGGTCAAATACTTATTTCCCTCATTAAATGAAAATCAATTTATAACATTTTTGACATGCGTTTTTCTGGATTTTTGTTGTTGTTATTCTGTCTCTCACTGCTCAAATAAACCTACCATTAAAATGATAGACTGATCATTTCTTTGTCAGTGGGCAAACGTACAAAATCAGCAGGGGATCAAATACTTGTTTCCCTCACTGTACATCTGTCAGGTGTGGTCAGTATTGCTGTGGACCCGAAATCTGACCTCTAACCTTGTAGCGATAACTTACACAAGCCATCCAAATTCCTGCATCATATCTGTATGCATTCCATCTGCCAAATATTGACAGGGAAACATTACTTACTTTAATGAAAGCCATCTTGCCCACAGCCCTAGCTTACTTTGAACTCAGACTTGACAAGCGACAAAGATCCCCTGTGCAGCCTTTAACAGATTATTGGGTCCAGTGCTGTTAGTTTGGCACCTATGCAGGCCGACAAGGCACAAAAGGGGGTGGGTAACCAACACTTTGCACCAGGAACTCATTTAAGTTCCAGTTGATCTCAGGGAGGCCCGGGAACAGTTTGGATATTCGAATGAAACTCGTTTTTCCAGGTTTTGTGGCGAAGCTTGCTAACCGCTAAACCACCCCTGCTCACAATATACAAAGATCCCCCGTCGTATAACCTTAACAGACTGTTAGGGGCAACCGCTTGCACAATATACCAGTGCACACGTACACGCACCTGATATACACGCGTGTCTGGAATTGTCGACACAACACTGTGCAGGACACACGCGTGCGCATGTTGACGAATCGGACACCAATGAGTGGGTAAAGGTGTTCTGGTATTTTGGCCAGAAATATATAAATACATAATGTGAAAGACCACCAGTCCATGGCAGAGAGAAAGAAAAAACAACAAAACCCAGAATGCCAGAGCATCTCCCAGAGCATCACTCTGAGTGCTCTTCCAGTTGAATGTTTTTTTTTTAAAGATGCCAGCAGCCGCCCGTGTCGACACTCAGCAGACTACTCGAGCACGCAAGCGGCACGGCATTGAGAAGCTTTTTTCTGCTGACAAAATACCGTACACCAAAGACAAATAACCTCCATATAGCCTCAAGAGGCTGCTGGGGCAAGTGCTGTTCAGCAAGTACCTACGAAGGCTGGCACTGAACACGAGGGGTTAGGTAGCCAACACCACGCCCGGCCGCCTTTGTCTCCCCAGGTACTCATTTGAGGCCAAGTCGACCTAGGGGAGGCGCAAGACCAGTTCAGATAATAGTCACAGGTTTTGGCCGTGAGCGGGAATCGAACCCGGGTCGCCCGGTTTGTAGCGCAGCGAGCTAGCCGTTGCACTGCCGCCCCCCCACACGCATCGTGGACCCTGGCACACGCGATAGCAAGGGCTGCCACACGAACAAGGTGACCCTCATTCATCGGAACCCCAAGCCAGAATAGTCTCGTAAAGAGTGTTCTGTGTGGGTTCTTGGCAACAGCCACGCATCACAGCAAGAAGCTCCTGGATTTGAGTCCCCATTGGGGCACCGATGTTCCCGCCCCCTAGTCTGCATGGGTTTCCTCTGGGTAACTGCACTCAACGCATGGTCGAGTAATATCACGCAGTGCACACCAGCTCTGATATTCAATGCAACAAGAGGCAATGCGCCCGTCGCAAAATCACGTGGGATGTGCTCAATCTTGCGTCCCAGAAGCTTAAGCAGAGTTGAGCCGGGATTAATGCTTGGATGGGCGACCACATGTTCCCACCGCGCTACGGAACTCTGCGCGCGGCAGCCTAGGGCGGTGAATAAAAATGCACCATCGTACTGCACTCTCTAAGCGCCCTTGCCAACAGCAACCCTCACTGGTCAGCGTGGTGAGGCATCGCCAGATGTCCTCGCACAGGCGTGCAGAGGGCCCTCATCCAGCAGTTGCCATTTTATCATCTTGATGTGGCCCGGGACTAAATGTCGGTGTTGTTTTACTGCCTTGCCCAAGCTTGGTAAATTGGACTCATTTCATGAATTAATTAGTCACTTTTTATTTATTTACCTTTTTCTCAATTTTTGCACTCGTATTGTTTGTCGCATTGTTTCCTGTTGTAACTTGCTGACCCGCCCACACTGTGGACGTCTCGTGGGAAAAGAGCTTCATAGCTCATCAGATTCCTCCCGCAGTCTAAATACCGATTCTGAATGAACTGAGAAAGGGCTTAAACAAAGTGAAGGTGATGTCATCACTGTAAGGATATCTGGGATAATATAGTCATATGAATTACGATGTATTATGTTAATCTGATAATATTCAGTACATATTTCCAGTTGGATTAGTAACAGTTAAGCAACATATGATAACCTTACAAACCTTACTAATCGGCTGTGTTTGGGGGTGGGGGGTTAATGACGCATTTATATTTACACGATGTAACCCACGAGACCTTTATCCTTTAACAATATTGGTCGCGAAAGCTGACGTGCTAAACGGACCTTGCAGTAGGTGGGAGAGTTCGGGTCCACGTCCACTGTGGACAAGTAGTCTGGCTTGTCCACTCCAGTGTTGCGGTAGATGCAAGGCACGTAGACTATCTCCTCTCTGGGCCCTGGGGAGGAGAAAATAAAAAGAACCGGGAGGTTAATGAATGAGCACGGCCATGCGTATACAGTAGAGCCCCTCCACCAGTGTTAACGACTAATCAGTTAACGACGGGCCTCCATAGAGCCCAATGTGTAGTGTATAGTGTATAGTAGTGTATAGTAGTGGTGTATAGTAGTGAATAGTAGTGAATATTAGTGTAGTGTATAGCAGTGGTGTATAGCAGTGTATAGTGTATAGCAGTGGTGTATAGTAGTGTAGTGTATAGCAGTGGTGTATAGCAATGTAGTGTATAGTGGTGTAGTGTATAGTAGTGTTTAGTGTATAGTGTAGTGTATAGTAATGTAGAGTTGAATCCCTCTTAACGACCACCAGTGTGAACGACTAATCAGTTAACGACGGGCCTCCATAGAGCCCAATGTGTAGTGTATAGTAGTGTAGAGGTGCTAACTACTCACTGTTCAGTAACCTGCATTGCCACTAGGTATCAAAGGGGCAGTGCAGCGTTACCTCTGTGTGAATAACAGTTGGGGTCAGACGAGGTGAAGCGGATCGTAGCCACAGTTTGGTAAGAACCAATCAGACAGTTCCACGTGGGAATGTGGGATTGGTTACATCTGGCCAAAAACGGGTATAAGAAGGGTGACCGCGCAGAGCGCGGGGAGTTCTCTCCCTACACGAAGACCGAAGCCCGGGCTGAAGACTAGCTAGGACCCTGGACCCAGCCTTCCAGCCCTTCTGAGGGCTAAGGCTCGGTGCATCCAGTGGTCAAGACCCGCCGGGCCAGCGGTGGGTCAGATAGCCTCCCCTAGGTCCCAGCCGGAGGACTCTAGGATAGCGGTAGATGTGTGAGTAAGTCCCGCCAAGATTGGAGGCTGTACTTCCTTAGGTTAGGAAGAGACATGTGTGTAGGTCACGCTAAGTCCGGAGGCTGTACCTTCTTAGGGTATCGGGTGAGGGGACCGTATACCCCTCTGTGTGTTAAGGACTGTGTAAAGAGAAGTATTACAATAAACAGAGTGTGCCTCATAAGAAGTTTATTCGTCATTATAAACACTACAGTAGTGTGGTGTATAGCAGTGTATAGAAGTGTCGTGTATAGTAGTGTAGTGTATAGTGTAGTGTAGAGTAGAACCCCTCTTAACAACCACCCCTGTTAACGACCAATTGCTTCACGACGGGCCTCCATAGAGCCCAACGTGTTCGCTTACCGACCATTCCCCTGTCAATGATGGCATGCTGTAGCTAGAGTATTGGTAAATATTAATTAATGAATTGGTTAGTCATGTTTCTTTTAATATCATGTGTTTATAATGTTGTTAGTATCTTTATGTATTAATATCCATTGTTCACATATTATAAAGTAGGTTTTTTGGGGGAAAACGTGTCACTTTTGATGCTAGCGGAACGAATTAAGCATTTAACGTGCATTCCCTATACTCATGGAACTATTTAGCGTCGACTGCACAGGCATAGATTAAAAAATGTGCGTTCAAGATTTTTATTTTTTCGTGTTGCATAAAAAATTTTTGGAGGCAAATGCGCATTGTAAAAAGGCAAATGCACATTGTAAATAGAGATTACGTGTCATTATTGTCTGGTCCATGGGCCTGGAGGTGCCATTCTGCAACGCGCCATGCTCTTTATTACAATTAAACAACGTATGCCTTCATCACATATATTTCCCCTCCACATACAAATAAATTATTGGATTTTTGTTACACTTCCCGTCAACCACAAGACCTTCTGGGAGTGCATCAAGTCAGCAGCAAACTCTGAACGTGTTTTGACATCCGATGTCTCATCAGTCGAGTCAGCCTTACTTGAGCCAAACGCGGGTCAACCGCCAGATATTGCAGGCAAAGGCCCTCTCGTTACAATATGGAATTTGACACCAGACATGCTACGATTCCATCACAACTTGGCAAATGATGCTGGGCGTTACCTCCGCATTTAATTACAACAACGGCGCCTTGAGCGTCGTGGCAAGGGTAAGCCATTACAGTGGTACAGTCGACAGTACTACCTTTCATGGCATCCAAGGGGGTCTTAAACCCAGGGCCGCAGTGTCCACAAGCTGGTTTGGAGACACAATGGACAACACACCGAACAACAATGATAATTATTAACACGTGGGGACAGGCATAGTGTGATGGCAGAGTTTGTTATTCATGGCCAGAGGTAGGGCAGTGGTGGTTAACAAACTTTGCTCATTGTTTTGACCGCCGAGCCAGGAGAATTAATTGTCCAGCGTGCTCACACCATTAGAAGCACGGCAGCACCATGATGTATCAAAGGTCAGGTGCATGTTGAACTTCCTTCACATCGTACGTAGCCAACCGTGCTAATCGGAGGTGCGGGGGATGGACAACTAACTAACTACCAAAAGCAGTTCGAATGAAATGGGTGTTCAGTCTGGATGATCTAAAAGTGGACAGCTCCAGCGGCTCCCTGATATCGGAAGAGGGTTTCCAAATGGCCGCAGAAGCACATGCTAACCAAAAGCTGGAGCGAGGGTGACCACCGGAGTTCGCGTGATGATTTATGCTCCTTGAACGAGACCAGCAAGGTGGTATTGTGGTTCATTGGTGGTGGGCACTTTGCGTGCAATGTTAGAATATTCTATACAACTGTTTTATTATACCAGGTAAGGCGCACTCAGCTGTATAGCTCTTTTTCAAAAGCGACCTGGCCACAAATTAGAGATCAACGAAGTGGTTGTGTTCATGTGGCAATGTGTATAGCAGCCAAATTCTCTCAACGCACACGTGTCTAACGTTAGACACGTGTGCGGACTATATATATACACCAGGCGGACTATATATATACCAGGCGGACTATATATACACACGAGGCGGACTATATATATACACGAGGCGGACTATATATACACGAGGCGGACTATATATATACACCAGGCGGACTATATATATACACCAGGTGGACTATATATGTACACACCAGGCGGACTATATATACACCAGGCAGACGTAGTTGAACTATGAACTATGAGTTAACATTTCTCCATCGTGGCGTCTGGAAGCCAATGCAGCTCGGCGAGCACTGGACGGACGCAGTTGCAATAATAACGGCGACTTTACCGAGAGAACCAAAGAGTATGGATTCCTACAGTCACGAAAGCATTCAAATCAAGATTCAGGAAGAGAGTTCGACATGGGTAGGGAGAGAGAGAGTTGGCGGTGGGGTGTGCAAGGGGACAAATTGGGGGACACCTGGTCGTGCCCGGCCACAGCCCAGACCTACCCGACACGTGCTCGCATTTAACTGCACAGCGATTGGGTTAGGGGAGAGGAGAGGTCACCATCATCGCGCGTGTGCCAAGTTTCGCCATCTATGCGGGCCAGCGAGCTGCCCTCTCGCTGGACTTTGCACGGAGGAGGAGGAGGAATCTGCAGGCATATTATTTGCTTGCACGGATTAGTCGGTCTGCACTTTTGAGTAAAAAAAGGGGGGAGAGACAGAGAGAAAAGCCGCCAAACGCTACAAGAAATAAATATAGTTTAAAATCACCACTCTGTAACGATAGCTTACAACAAAGGGACATCCCCGGAATTGAATTGACCGACGCATCGCGTGCATTTCTTCTGCACAGCACAGTTGTAGTCACGCACTAAAGCACGGCAGCACAACAACAACAACTACAGAATGTTGCTTAACAGCAGCAGCAGGTTTACAAATGAAATCGTGGAGGTGTGTCACGGTGTATGCCATGATGGTGAATCACGGGGTATGATGGTAAATCATAGTGTAACGTGGTGAATCACGGTGTAACGTGGTGAATCACGGTGTAACGTGGTGAATCATGGTATAACGTGGTGAATCATGGTGTAATATGGTGAATCATGGTGAATGATGGTGAATGATGGTGAACCATGGTATAACATGGTGAATCGTAGTGTAACATGGTGAATCATGGTGTATGATGGTGAATCACGGTGTATGATGGTGTATGCCAGTGCACCATGGGGCCTGGTAGTATATTATTGTAAATCGCAGCGAATCATGGTGTAGAACTGTAGATGGTTCAATGGTGATGTACCATGGTAGTGTATCTAGGGTGTGTCATAGTCTATGGTCGTGAATGACGGTGTGTGGTGGCGGTGTACGATGCGTGTGTGATCGCCATCTATTGCGATGGTTAAACACGGGTTGTGCCGTGGAGTACAATGGAGTTTCGTTGATGACGCATGGTGGAGGGAGTGAAGACTCTCACCCATGCTGCTGCTGTTTCTGCAGCTGCTGTTGCTGCTGCTGCCCGCGCTGTCCCGAGAGAGGAGTGCGCAGAGTGAAGTGGAGAGAGGGAAAGGAGTGGAGAGGGGGAGCGAAAGGCGCTGGCCAGCGATTGGACGTGAAGGGCGAGGCGGCTCTACAAGTTTCAGTATCAATGAGCCGTCGCGGATGGGGGATGAATGTACGTGGGACTTCTTTCGCACCGTACGTAGCCGAACGGATGTGCGGGTGCGGGGTGGAGAACAACAAACTAGACACAAAGAGGAGTTCTAAATAAATTAGTTTTCAATCTAAGATGATGATTTAAAAGTGCATCATGACTCCTTGTGGCTTCCGAATATCCGAAGGAAGAGACTCATAGAGACCCACAGAGACCCATACAGACCCATAGAGAGCCACAGAGATCCAGACTCATATAGAAACACAGAGACCCACAGAGACCCATACATACCCATAGAGAGCCACAGAGATCCAGACTCATATAGAAACACAGAGACCCACAGAGACCCATAGAGACCCACAGAGATCCAGACTCATATGGAAACACAGAGACCCACAGAGACCCATACAGACCCATAGAGACCCACAGAGATCCAGACTCATATGGAAACACAGAGACCCACAGAGACCCATACAGACCCATAAAGACCCATACTCATGTATGTTGGACTTATTTTGCATCGTACGTAGCCAACGGCGCTAATCAGAGGCGGTGGGGGAAGGACAACAAACTAAACACAACGACAACAAGCAGTTCTAAAGAAATGAGTTCTCAATCTCGATCGCGTGTTGTAAAATCAATTCACCTCCAGGCTGTAATTTTCAAAACAAATCAAAGTGATCGCCTTGTCAAGTGAACAATGAGGCGTTGGTCATCTCCTACTTAAAGCCCTGATTCAGTGGAGGCAATTCCACATTTCCTGTGGCAGGGAGCGAGTTTTTATTTTCTCTCCTTGGTGTTTCCACTTTTTGACCTTGTTCTGCCCCGCGGCAGATATGGGGGGGGGGGGGGGTGTTTACACAGAAACTTCCCGATATGATGGTGCTGAGTTTGGTCACGTGACCAGGAAGTGACGCGTTAAGAGTCTCTGAGTCACGAGGCCAGGCGGGGGTGTCAGCCATTACACAGAGTACAAAATGGAGGCACAATTAACGTCTCAGTGAAAAGGGGTGCATCTGTTCATTGTGGGACAGCACTCACCATCAAGTGGTGCTCACTTATTTTTTTTTATCATCTCCACAGATGTGATGAGCTAATCAATCGTCGGCCTGGCCCGGTTAAAACAATATTTGGGCCCAAATTCGACGTTTGTATTTTTGTCTTCTTTGTTTTCTCTTCTTTGTTTGTATTTGTCTCCTTATAAACAAACGCTCGACTCAATCTGTGCTAGATGTCAGCTCTCTAACCCATGTAAGAACATCACCAGATTGACATCATCAAGTCGCTTAGCCCATTTGACGCTTGGACAGAAATTCTCATGTATTAGAGCGTTTAAACTCCTCAAATTATTCCTGTAATTGTATTTCCTTTGCAAATTCACAATGAGCAATAATAATTCCAGTTTCCACATGGCATGTGTCCCGAAAAATATGTTTGGACATAAATCGCTGCAAACATTTAACTCTTCGCCCTGCTCTGCCACTAAAGGAATAATACTCTCATATCCAGGCCGTATATGATTAACGTGTGTGTGTGTCTGTGAACTCGTGTACCCTGATTGCAATGGGAACTTCACGTTTGGCCACGGTTGTTCAAAGAGGCATTTTAGGGTCGTACCCGATATATAACAAATTGGTTTAAGTTTCCGAAATAATGGTTTCGCATCGAGTCGATCAGCAGGTCGTGTGTGGTTAAAGCGTGAGGACTCCCACCGCTTCCAAGATGTCTCGACTAGATACCCCCCAGGATCCCCTGAAGTGGAGACCCTTCCACCAGCAGTGGCATGAGCAGGCAATTGCAGAACTGTATCTTTACTCTTGATTTAAAGCTTTCGTGACTGCAGGGATTCATATTCTTGGTTCTTTCGGTAAAGTCACGTAGAAGGGAAACAATAAAATAATGAAAATATAAAACAATAAAATTCACACTTTTTTCAAAAAAATATTGCTGTGGTTTTCACACCTGATGATGATTGCTTGTGTTGCAGTCGAAACGTCGTGAGAATTTTATTGTTTTATATTTTTATTATTTTATTGTTTCCCTTCTACGTGACTTTACCGAAAGAACCAAGAATATGAATCTTTACTCGTTAACCATTACAGTATATTTGATAACGAGTTTCTTTAGAACTGATTTTTTTTGTGTGTGTTGTCCTTCCCCCGTACCTCCAATTATCACGGTTGGCTGCGTACAGTGCGGAAGAAGTTCACCATTCATACATATGTAGGTGCCGCGGTGGCGAGATCTTAACTACTTTTCCTGGTATACAGGTCGTGTGTTCGGTCTACGCCGACGCCTGTATATTTAGAGTTTGCGTGTCTCCCTGTAGTCGCGTGCATTTTTCTCCAGGTCCTCCGGTTTTTCCTTCCACATTTAGAATCAACATCACGCATTTAGAGTATTTGGCTGCTATACATTTCCACGTGATAAGCCACTTCGTAGAGCTATCATTCGTGGCCAGGTCGTTTCTGAATAAAGAGTTATGTCATGAAAGTCAGTCTGAAACTATTATTTTCACTTTCGCTGCCATGCCTGATGGGGAGGGGGAGGTAGCAGATTATGATTTGAATGGAATATTTCTCAAAACCAAGTTCATAATCTACTCGTGCAATCCCACAAACAAAACGAAGTAACTGTTTGTCTACACGACGGCACCTTTCCCATGTCTCGCCAAGTGCGTAAGGGAATTCTTCCGTGGAAAATGGAAACGTATGCATAGAGGGTTTACCTGCAGCCAGGGGGCGGCCCGTCCATATAGACGAATGAGGTGCCTCGGGCGCCACGTTAAGTGGGGAACCAAATTCGAGAGAAAAAAAGTACAAATTACAAAAAAGTATACAAATTAAATGACGAAGATGTCATAATTTCAATTCCTGTGCGTGTACAGAGGGAATATTAATTATAATTAATTTCTCAACAGTTCTGAGAATGTATTGGTTGAACAGACGGACGAACCGAATCATTGTTGTGCCTCTGTTTAAAAAGAAAACGCTTGCAGAACATTAAACCAGAAACATGGGCCACATGTGTCCCAGTTTACTAAAACAAAACCTCAGCCGAGATTTTCACTTTGGGGTTTGGGAGTGGGGGCGCGGTTTCCGTGGTTCGCCGAGGGTCGGCAGTTGCGGGCAGCTCGTCTAAGGCCGCCCCTGCCTCCACCTCCGTGCTGATAGAAATATATTTGCAAAATGTTCCCTCGTCGTATGTGCCTGCAAGACGAACTCCAACCCCCCCCCCCCTTGCAAGCACATCGGCACCATCTGGAAACGTTCAGCAAGGCTTGTTTATCCACTACGTTCCATTTGTTTAAGTTGTTTTAAGCGCAGAAATATGCAAACAGAGATACAAAAAAACATAGATCTGGACGTGCACATGATGTGCTTCGTCATGCATGCGAGGCTCTTTCAGGGGTGTAAGTGTGGTTGGCACGGATCTTGATGTAAGGGATACAAATGGGTCAATGTTCCACTCTCCTCGTTGTAGGCCGGGAGCCGCGGTGCAGTTGCACCGCCTGCACCTTCGATCGCCACGCAACTAGGCCTTGTATCATACAGCCAATTGGGAGTTTGTGCTCAGAATGTCTGCTTATTACACACAGCAGGTTTGTGATACCATTTTTTCTCTCTCTCTCTTTCGATTATCTACTACTCATCGTCCCTCTACGGGCGATACAATGAGCACCGCTTTGTGTGGATAAAAATCAACAGCGGTTCTCCAGCGGAGGAGACTGTCCCTGTGAGAGGGATGTGAATTCCACCCCCTCCGCCCACCCTGGATCAGCACCAGAGCTTGAGTTCACGTGATGACACGCAGGCACCACCGATCGCTGTAGAAAATGTTCACAACGCGTCTTGTGAATCCAAATGCCTCTGCTCCCGATCACCGTCAGACCCAGAAAGCCACGCAGCGTTGAGCCCGGAGAGTGCTTGGAGCGGTAACCCCCCCCCCCCCCCCCACGTGTGACGACGACAACGAAAAAACCAGGTGCCATTGGCATTGTGGGAAGTAGAGGGCCGCACAGCAGAATCCGATATTGTTTTGTATTCCCCAGCCAGCCCGTCCCTGTCCCGACCAAGTCTTCACGTCTGAGCTGCCATGAAATTTGGTTCAAAGGGAGACGCATGGTGCTCGATGGGTTTTTTGACTCCCTCTCCAGATCCGAGTGTATCACCAGCTCCAACACGAACACGCCCATTGTGCTGTACAGATGTTTTTTTTTTAAATTAGGAAGCCACTGGAACTACGCACCTTTAAATCTCGATTGGAAAAACAACTAATTTGTTTAGAACTGATTTTGTTTCCTCTTCAGTTTGTTGTCCTTCCCCTCCCCCGCACCTCCGACTAGCGCGGTTGGCTACGTACGGTGCGAAAGAAGTTTAACGTTATACATTTCAGTTTCAGTTTATTTTGGTATAGCCCTGTGAGCCATTCGGCTCTTGAATCGGGTGCAACGACAACAAACACAAAAACACGAACAAGAAAAACATCTTAAAGTGACTATGTGACTGTGCAAACAGAAAATCCATGGAAAAAAAACTGCTAAATCCTGAAAAAAGCACCGTACACCAACGCTGTGTGCAAAAAATCCCAGTGGGATGCAAGTCAAACAACAACCACAAGAAAACTTTGATTAAGGCCATCAGTCTAATTCCGTACTCCAACAAAACAAACATGTCCAAACCAAAAAACATTTTCGAAATCACCAAAAAATAAAGCCATAATTGCAACGTAACAGCAGGCTTCACTCATTTGCTGTCGGCTGCACAGGAGGCGCGTTACTTGTGTAGTGTTGTAAGGACGAGCAGACTTCTTAGGAGGCACACTCTGTTTATTGTATTATTTCTTTATACAATGCTTAACACACACAGAGGGATATACGGTCCCCTCACCCAATACCCTTGGGAGGTACAGCCTCCGGACTTGGCGGGAC